CCCTTGTACAAGTTATGCTTAATGGAAGGTAGCTATAATGTAGGAGATGACTAGGCTGAGCCTGAGAGAGAGAGAGGTCAAGTGTGTCACCAGTCTTGAATCCCTTTGCATCCACAAGAGATCTAAATCCAGCACATCTTGAATTCCATTGATTCTTATCTATCGCCAATTTGCTTTGACCAATAGCAGTTCAGATTCTTGTAGAGAGTGTTAGCATGCCATACATGTGTATTAATTTGAACTGCCTTGACTTGTGATTTCCTGAGCTTGATATATATATAACCTTTGTTGGGCATATGTCAAAAATAGATGAGCTTTCTGCAAAAAAGAAGTTCTACATCATCCAGAGAGTGCTGTCACCTTGTGCTTGGATACAGCCTTCATAATCAAGATAAATTCAATCTTTCACAAGGATTAGGAAGTGATTCATTCTACTTTCTGCCTCCACCTCAAAACAAAACTAGAGAAGAACTGGTATAAACCAGGTAGCAGCCAAGACATCAAAATATACCTGAGTAAGGAAAGTGGATTTCAGAACCTCAGACAGCCCCTCCAGATTTTCTTTCAACCATGTCATCAGGCTGTTAGGTTTTATTGAATGTGATCATCCCATGAATTAAGTTTTCAAATTAGGCTACAAGACTCAGAATAAACTCTCCTCATTGAGAATTCTGACCCTCTTCTCTAGGAATGCAACTATCTTCATCACCTTTTTGACGTTTACAGAGGCATTTCTAGTGTTGCCCCGTCTGAAGGTTCTCTCTAAAGACGGCTATAGCACGTTGCATTATTGTATAGAATGTCTTCCCTCAGATGGTGGAATACTACATGGGATTTAACCATGAAAGTTCTCTTTTCACAAAGGGGATGGTGTATCCAATCCACAAAGATTTTTTTTAAAAAAAATTTGATTTATATGCTGCCTTTCTCCGGAGACTCAGGGCGGCTTACAATGCGCTAAGCAATAGCCTTCATCCTTTTGTATATTTTATACAAAGTCAGCTTATTGCCCCCACAACTGGGTCCTCAATTTACCTACTTTAGAAAGGATGGAAGGCTGAGTCAACCTTGAGCCTGGCGAGATTCGAACCTGCAGTAATTGCAGGCAGCTGGTCTTAATAACAGGGTGCTTTAGACCACTGTACTACCAAGGCTCTTTGGTACTGTAGTACAAAGAGCCCTGTACTACTATTATTGTAGTACAAAATAGGGAGAAATACATATTGGAGGGGGGCATCAATATGTGTAACCAGTGTACAGTACCGTGTTTCCCTGAAAATATGACATGTCTGGATAATAAGCCCAATCGGGCTTTTCAGCGCATGCAATAATATAAGCCACCCCCCGCAAAATAAGCCCCCCACCAACTACTTACATGCATGTGCAGCTGTTCCCACCATTTCCTCTGGTTGCTTGCCACGCAACCAAAATGAGTTGTTGAGGCGAGGTTGGAGAGGGGGAAGGGGGGAGATGCCCTCCCCTCCCTGTTCTTCACACTGGCCGAGTGGCCCAACATGTCCCACCCCACCTCAATGGCAACAGCAGCCTGGCTGCTTCCCTTCCCCGCCATCTCTTTATTGAGAGGGGTGGCAGGTGGGGCAGGGAAGAATTGAGACACCGTGGGGGGAGACATGGCCCCCCTTGTGGTCTCTCCCCCCCCCCCCTTTGCTGAGCATGGACTGAATTCTTCTAAGCCCATCGCTTAGCCACCCTTTAGGAATGCAATTTGGAGGGTGGCAGTTAGGGCAGGTGAGAAGCGGGACACGCTCCTTACCTTTCCAGCTCCATCGCGTTCCTCACCGTTGTGTCCAGGGAAACACGCTGTAAAAGAAAACCTTCTTGTGAGTTCAATCAAACTTCTCGAACTTGCGAAAAGGTTTTCTTTTACAGTGTGTTTTCCTGGACACAATGGCGAGGAACGTGATGGAGCTGGAAAGGTAAGACGCGCGTCCCGCTTCTAACCCGCCCTACCTGCCACCCCCAAATTGCATCCCTAAAGGGGGTGGGTGGCTAAGCGAGGGGCAGGAGCCCTGTCATGCCCAGCGAGGGGGAAAGAAGAGATGGCAAGGGGAGCCACATCTCGCTCCACGCGTCTCAATTCTTCCCTGCCCCACCTACCATCCCTCTTGATAAAGAGACGGCGGGGAAGGGAAGCAGCTGTTGCCATTGGGATGGGGTGGGACATGTTGGGCTGCTTGGCTGGTGCGAAGAACAGGGAAGAGAGGTGACGGCAGTGACGGGACATCCAGTCCCATGTTCGCCACCTCCTGCACCCCCAAAATAATAAGTCCCCCCGATAATAAGGCCAAGCCCTTATTTGGGGGGGGGGTGTCAAAAGAAAATAAGACCCTGTCTTATTTTCAGGGAAATACGGTATATAGTTTAACCATGTCCCCTTTATTCCTAATTTTCTCAAGTGTTCTTTTGTGGGCTTTCTTTCTGGTTTGTCATTGTGAAACTGCAAAAAGAAACTATCTCCTCCCACAGGAAGCTGCATCAGAACTCTTTCTAGGCTAACATTGTCTTGGGAGTGATAAGGAGATTCTGTAAAATTTCCTGTATCCTATGAGAGCTTTCATGGTAAGTCCAATGTATCATTCCAGGCTGTATTTCCTATTATGAAAACTCATTAATATATATTTGGAAGTATCCCTGTATAGCTTCATGTTCTATTTTTACTCCGAAGAATTCAGTCTCAGATCTTTAAGATAAATCTTGTAGGAAATGTGTGGTGGACATGGAACAGTTCGTTTATTTGACTTCCAGTAGATATATTTGCACCTCACTGTTGACATACATGACTTTTGAACTTTTCCCATACTTGCGCAGTCTTGCCTCCTGTGTCCAGAATGGAGGAAAAAGTTCAAAAAGTAAATGGAGCTTTGTCCTCTTCCATATAGAATCATGCTGGCCTTAGCTTTGCTGTCCTAACATTAGCTAAAGAGCGTTCCTCCCTCTTGCCTTGACCTTTGCATTGCAGTGTCTGCTACGCTGTGTTAAGGTCAGCTCTGATTCTGAAGGAAGTGTGGTGAGTCAGCAGCAAACTTCATTTCCTGCATTGCATCAGAAGGTTCCAGAGCAAGCACAGAGGATGTTCAGAGCGTGACTTGGCCTGAGTCCCACTCAGGGCTGAGAGAGAGCCAGCAAGACACACATGTCCCGAACTTCAAGAAATTCAGTCTAAGCCTGCAAGTGCCATTTCAATGAGATTCATCTTCACAGCCACACTATCAGATTCCTTTTGTTTTCCCATCCTCACAGGACAGTGACCTTCCAGAAGACATTGGCCATATGATCTATACTTTTGTGTAACTTGCTCTGTAATATGTGCTTTATTCCTTCTGGCTGCTTGCTTCCTCAGTACAAACAGTATTGCATTTTTATGCAAAATGATTTATTAGTTTTGTGAATCGTAGCCGCTGGGACTGATGTAAATTCACAAACTACATTTTGAATTTATGGAATTTTTTCTAATCCCAGACTGATAAAATGGAGAAACATAACAAAAGAGTTGCAGATTAAGTCACACTAAATATATTACTTAATGTAAAAAAAAAATGTAAAAACGGGCCATGTGAAGGAAAATTTTTGAAAAGTCAATACATTTCTGTGCTTAAGTAATGAACCCTCAATGATGGCATCTCTGAGAGATAAGTTACTCCTGCATAATTGCACTTGTTTTATCTGATCAACGTTAGAAGGATGGACCTTTCATGGTTGATTTGTTTTGTTTCTTATATACCAATTAAGAATTGATAGATTTTTTTGATATATTGATTTTTTTACTGATCATTGGGTTGGAAATGATATAATGACCGTAATTATTATTTATTATTTTAATTAGCTTTGTAGCTAGTAGAAAAAGTACTACAATCCTTGTTCTCTTTACTTGCATTCTAGTCCATATGGAAGCAAACCAAATCATTATATAAAGATAATATAATTTCAAAAGGTGAGAAAATAGCTATTATCTGTTAGTTTGCTCTTCACAGCAGCCTTTAGTACACATTGAAATTACTTTGCATCCAAAATAGCCTTAATTTGTTTAGATCAGTCTGCTCTTTTGCATTCCATTCTGTGATTTACCATTTGCAAACTCTCTGCCTCCATGCTTTTTTCTGTCTGCTGTTTTTCTTAGTTTGAAGAAAAATGCTGAGGAATGTAAAAACTTTCTCACTATCTTGTCACCTATGTGTGAATTGGGCAACTATATGAATTTGTTTGTTTTAAAAAAACAAGTAGAGGTGCAATTTTAATTGGTCCATATAAAGAAGTGATCCTAGCTGTAATTTTGGAATCTACCTCCCCTTTGAAAATTCAATCTCAAATAATAGGAAGGAGAAGTGAATGAATTGAGAGAAAGGGGAAGACTGGCAATACTGTGGTTAGACGGGGTTGAAAAAGAGATATAAAGAGCGAGACAGGGGTGGGTTCTACTTATCTTTACTACTGGTTCGCATGCACAGATCACCCATAATGATGTCGTGGCAAGTGGGCGGAGCCTCCCGCTGGTTTTACTACCGGTTCTATAGAACCGGACTGAACCGGGAGCAACCCACCACTGGAGCGAGATGAGAAATTTAAAGAACAAATGACAGTATATGAAATTGGGTATGGATGTGATGGAAGGAAGGCAGTTTGCAAAATTGGAAAGATATGAAGTGGATGCAGGGAATGGCCATAAAGTAGATTTATTTATATTTATTATATTATTTATTAATATTTGTTTTGCTTTTCTCTTCTATCTTACATTTATTTTGCTTATTTTAGTCTCTCCCCCCCCCCTCCGCTTCATGTTGTAACAGTCCTTAACTGCAAAGAAAATAACAGGATAGATATGTATCTATGTGAAATTAACTCATAAAGAAAATGAATATAAGAAGTTAGGAGGAGGATATGCGAGCCTCGTTTTCATTCCTCCAGTTGGCCTCTGTTTTGGTGTTACTAGCAAATGCAGGAACTGTATTAGGAAGTGGTTTATTTGCACACAAGCTGGAAGGGCTGTTTGAATCAACATGCAGGAAGTGAGGGTGCAGTCAGCACACAGTAGCAAGCAAACCAGTGGCCTGCTGTTTTTATCTCCTGGCTCTCGGATGTCCTTTTCGGAACCAGACACAAGCTCTGAGCATGACCTGGAGGTACTAGCTTTTGAAAGGGAGCTTGAGGTGGTTGGGAAATCACTTGCACATTCCTCTCCTTTTTTTCTTCCATTGTTTAATAACCAGAGAGGGAGGCTGTTGTGCCAACCTTATAATAGTATGAATACGGAAGTTAAATCGGAGGAGGAATTTCAGATTAAGTGAGGAATTAAGCAGGAGAAACATTGTAGGATTAATATAGAGACATGAGTGTGTATCCTGTATCATAAAGTGTGTTTCTGGTTTGAGATCCGTGGTGATTTACCCACAAATGACCTGGAAGTTTGCATTCTTAATCTGCTCTGCATTGGGTGCGCATAGCAGGTTGGTGACTGATCTAAAATATCTCAGAATATTACAGAAAATAAAAACTTAAACAAGCATTTTATATGGATGGAAAGCCTCATGCAAGACTGGGTGAGGGGCTGCATATCCACATATTTAATCAGGACAAATCCCTCACCATGTGAGGACAGTGTACACACACACACACACACACACACACACACACACACTTTCTTATAATCACTTTGTGTAAATTGTTCAGGAGTGGTGGTAAGAGTGGTGTGTTTGGAGATCTCGATGGATTACAGGATAATATTGAGGGTCATGTGTGGAGTTTAAGAAGCAGTTAATGAGTTTGTTGAGAGGAGCACAAATACTGTGTATTAAGAAAGAGAAAGACTACAATATTTTACTGTAGAATATATTTGATATCTTAAAGTCTCTATATATTGGCTAGAATTATTTTTTAAAACATTAGTTTTATCAGAGAGCAAATCTACGCAGGTTTTTGTTCATTTAGAGAGATCTGTCTGCATCGTGCCTTGCTCCAAACCTTTAATTCACCGGCTCTCTTTCCCCCTTTCCATTCACTTCAGTGCAATATTTTAGCTACTCCCAATACTATCTTCTCTGATTCTTTAGGTTTACCCGATTTTGGAAAATGAAAATTAATACATAGGAAGAAAAAGCCTCTCCCCTCCCAATGTTTGGAGCATTGTTCCTTGTTTCATGAGAAACATGAGAAGACAGCAGCTGCCTGTTGTGTTTTCTAGCCCACTTCTTAAATTCCCTTCAGGAGGTTTCTCACATGTTGATTATGTTATTGAATGAGCTGCGTGAATGTCATTTGACTACACAACTGATTATTTTGGAGTTGTAGTCTGTAGTTGGAATACTGTAATCGCTTTTGACTTCCGGGACCAGAAGAATCTACTGGCCTATATTTCCCATTCTAAGTTGGCACTAATTTGCCCATTATTAGTGACTTTTAATTTTTACTCAGTTCCTACCCTTAATTTTGACTTGGAGATCCTTCTGGACTTGTGGCTTATGCCTAAGGAGCGTATGACACAGCAAGGCTAGGGAGATTTTATTTAGAGGCATTTTGTGTGCCGGTTACACCCATTACTGAACCAGGAGATATTACGCAGTAGTCATGCTCTGATCACTTCCTAGCTGCATTAGTGTGATTTCCTATGTAAGGATTCTTCAGGTCCATCTGGAAATTACAACTGGTCCAAAATGCAGCAACTGGGGGCAGTTTTGGGCATCTATATTTTGCCCATATTACATCGCTGTGTATGAGCTTCTCTGAGTCCCAGTGGTTTTGTTGGGAGAGGTACAATTTAAGGGGGGTGGCTATTACCCTTGAAGCCATGGATAGCATGGGTCCAGGTTACTTGAGAGGCTGTCTCTCCTTGAGTGTATCTGTTCATCACATCTATAAGTAGTCCTCAACTTATAACAGTTTATTTAGTGACCGTTCAAAGTTACAACAGCACTGGAAAAAGTGACTTATGGCCGTTTTTCAGAGTTATAACCTTTGCAGCATCCCCATGATCGTGTGATCAAAATTCAGATGCTTGGCAACTCGTTCATACTTCATTGCAGTGTCCCGGGGTCAAGCAAAGTCAGTGGGGAAGCCAGATTCACTTAACAGCCAGGTTACTAACTTACCAACTGCAGTGATTCACATTGTTAAATGCTGTCATTTAATGGGACCTAGGATCCCAGAGATTCAGCAGGCATTCAGCTGACTATCACTGAGTGATAGTATATCTTTTGAGTTATGATGAATGTATTTTTATGATGCCTATGATCATGATTTATCACTTATAGCTTTTATGTACACTGAGAGCTTATGCACCAAAGACAAATTCCTTGTGTGTCCAATCACACTTGGCCAATAAAGAATTCTATTCTGTTCTGTTCTATTCTATTCTATTCTATTCTATTCTATTCTATTCTATTCTATTCTATTCTATTCCTTGCCTTCTAGAAGGGCTTAAAAACCTGACTTTTCCACAGATATTGAGGTAGGATGAGGCTGGAGCCTAACAAGAGGATATATTGATGTGTGGGAGAATGTTGCCTTAAGATGCCATGTGTTTTTATTGCACTTAATTGGCGTTTTTCTGTTTTTGTATGTGGTTACTATATGAGTGATTTTATTAGCCTTTTAAATAAATAAAAATAAAAAGTAACTACAGTATATTGACAGAATCTAAAAGAATTTGATTGTTATGAAGCATTGTTTGTTTGATAGAGACCAGCACCATACAATAAGTTTTCTTTTTATAATAAAACCTACTAAATACTAGGCACAGTTAGGGAGATGAATGATACGACAAGTTGTGGTTAACTAAAATTGGAAATGAAAGTGTTCAAATTTGTGGCTGCGATGAAGAAAGAGAGGGAGAGGTTTGATAAATAAAAGAAACATGATGTAGCAAAGAGGTACATTGTTACTAAGTGTTAAATAATATCTTCATGTATTAAATAACATATTTCTCAGAGTCAACTACAGGTATATGTGCAAAATACAAACTGCTGTTTATTGCACTTGTTTATTGTTTTGTAGATTGCTCTAAGCTTTTTTAAGAGGAAGAGTGATAGTAATACTTCTTATCTCAGTGAACAGATGGTAGAAACCTTGTGTTATGGGGGGGGGTGAATCACAAGGTTTCCACCATCTTTAAAAACAAAACAGTATTTTAAACACAGTGACTAATGAAACACTGAAGGTAAAAAAAAACAGCATTGGAACAAAGTGGGAAAAAAGAAGAAAAGAAACTACACAAAAGCAAACGAAATATAAATGTATTTGGAACCTTAAGGAGAAATACAAAAATGTTACCATCCCCATTAAGTACTTATATTCACAAATAGATTTGTAAAGACATAAATGTTGAGATAATTCCTATTCCAGCATAATTAAAATACCACATTGAGCAGCTAAGATTTCAATATAGGTTGACTTGTTCTGTGCAACTATTTTTGGTTTTGATACTCTACAGCAGGGATATCAAACTCACGGTGTCATGTGACATATCATGATTTTTCTCCCCCCTTCGCTAAACCGGGCTTGGCTGTGGCCAGTGTGTGATGCATCCGGCCCGCGGGCCAAGAGTTTGACAGCCCTGCCTTACAGTGTTTGCAAGTATCACAGATCTACCAGATCTCCAAACTGTCCATTAGGAGTTCTGTAGCTCTAATCTATAAGTCTCAGCAGGGGAATTATTGACTTTGTTTGCCAAGTGAAACAAGATTCTGAATAAGATTGCAGTTCAGGGAGGTTGGCAGCAGTTGTCAACATCACCATGAAAAGATATCCAAGGTAGAGCTGCATGTAGTGTATTCAGGGAAGGAATGTATGTTTGGATGCAAAAAAAAAAAAAAGGCAGAAACCGAGATTTCTGGGTTTTATTTATAGATTGAAAGGGTGATGAGAGGGAATGTAATTGGCATGGGCCTGAAATTAGATTCTAATTCTGAGGAGAAAATGAGGTTATAATAAAAATGGAATAGGGATTAAATAGAGTCAAATGTTTGTCCTTGGTCCATTTTCTTTTCCAGTCCTGCAGCTAACACAATTGTATATCTGTTTCTCTCCTGTTTCTTATTTTCTTAGCAGGAATTCACTATTAATACAATACAATATATGTTAATGTATTATTTGGAGTATATATTTTTTTATTAAAATGTAACTGAATTTGGCTCATGAATTCTCCTTGCTTCCTTCAGGCCTGACTGCTGGGAAATTAGAATGATTGTTACAGCCAAACCCTACCTGTGATTAATCTTGACAGAGGTTCTTTAAGGGAAGGCCAGCATCATACTATTACTTGAATTTAGTGTGCTTCAGTAAACCATATAATTTTCCAACTTCCTGCTTTTGATAAAAGGCAGAATATGGGAGGAGTAAGAGGAATACATGCATATAAAGGCCATTTATATATATTTAATAATATATCCTCATTAGGCTTATGTTTGTGTAAATATTAATGATTTAGTTTAATAAAAATTAAATGCTAACTTTTGCAAATTTGGATTAGATTTAGATTTAGTTTTCAACAACCAAGAGGTTGTTTTAAAAGACAAGTTTATACATTTAAATCAGGGCTGTCAAACAGGTGGCCCACGGGCCAGATGCATCACACACTGGCTATGCCCACATCTGGTTTAGCGAAGGGGGACAACGCCGTGACGATGAGAGTTTGACACCTCTGATTTAAATGAACTGCAAGTAGTCCTTGACTTACAACCACAATTGAGCCCAAAATTTGACAGACAAAGTCAATTGGGGAAGCTGGGTTTGTTTAATGGCCGTGTGACACATTAGCAACCACGGTGATTCATTTAACAACTGCAGTGAAAATCAGGCTTGTTGCATGTTTAATGACCACATTGCTTAGCAACTGAAATTCCACTCCCAATTGTGATTGTAAGTTGAAAACTATCTCTATTGCATTATAGTTCCTGTTTATTTAGAGACATTGGTGCTATTCTGCTTATTGTAACTATAATATATTTAGGGAAGGGGTAAAATTGTTGAAGGGGTTTAATTTGCTCGTTGTTTTTTTCTTTTGCATAGTTTACAGCACTAGAATATTTTCAAGGCTTTTACGATTTCAGAAAGGAATCAAAGGGACAGAGACAAAGATTAATGTTGGTAATCTAATGACTGGGCATGTAACTTTTTTGCCATGCTTGCTTTGCAGAGTGACCCAGGCAACTGGTCAGTCCTGGACCACCTGGGTCTGGACCAGAGCTCAGATTTTTCAGACACCAGCGTGCAACAGAAATTGGATGAAGAGAAAGAGAAAATTAAACGTGAGATCCGCAAAGAATTGAAAATAAAGGAGGGAGCAGAAAATTTACGCAAGGCTACCACAGACCGTAAGAATCTCTCCAATGTGGAAAACTTGCTCAAGAACTCCAACCGCAAACTGGAAACGTTGCATCACCAGCTTCAGGATCTCAATGCACATATTGTCGTCAAGGACCCTGAAGAGCTGGGGGGTGAGTGTGTTAAATTTTTGGGGTGGGACAACATGGATACAACAACAACAGGGTGCAGAGAGAAGTAGTGATATGGAAAAGGAACGAAAAGAAAATTGCACAAATTGTTGTCAGCTCTCAGTAGAATAGGCACAATAAATTTCCCTAGAAGAGGTTTACGGCAATAAAAAAGGATTCTTAATTTCAGTTTTTGGTGGTTTCTTTGGTTAGGAAAGAACCAGCCAGCAGCTACACCTTTTTGAAAACTCTTCTGGCTGATAGGGAAATTAGGCAATACCCTGGTAATGTTTGTCTCTGATATTCACTGCTGGCACTTCAAAGGAAGCAATTACTTTGTCAAAAACTGTGTTTTACTTATTTAATCGGATTTGATAGCATCTCCAGATATTCTCCAGGGACTTCGTAGTACATTTTGTGTGTGTGTAGTATCCTGTATGTGTGAGAGCCAGTTTGGTCTAGCAATTAAGGTACCAAGCTAGAACGAGACGGTGACTTCTAGGCCTGCATAAAAGTTGGCTGGGTGATTTTGGCCCAGTCCTCTCTCTCAACCCACAATGTCAGGCTCCGGCAACAAAGCCAGTCAGTCAATTCCTGTTACAACCAAGTATTGATCCCCCTCCCCAAAAAGTAGACGCTTCACTTGTGGTGAAACACCAGGAAGAAAAAACAATGGTAGTTCCTGTGTTCCTCCTGAGTATATGGAGCCTGGGAATTTATCTTATCTCTGTGGATTTTCCAACACTGAAACTTAAAGTGAAGGCACTTGCTTAAAACCAAATATTTTGAGGTTGATAAGAGTGCAGCTCTGATTTGTAATATATGTCTCATATATAATAAATTCTTCCTGCGTGAGCAATAATTCATTTGAATTATTGTTCAAGTTTTTTAACAAATTGAATTTAGTTACAGATAGGTTGGTGTGTCTAGCCTTTTATTTATTTATTGGTGTATTCATTCATTTTAGCTTACTTATTAGATTTATATCCTGCCTTTCCTTCAAGAGCAACAAATGATGTATGTAGCATTCCCTTTTCTGGTTTTTCCCCACAGTAGCAACCTTCCTTTGACATAGGTTGGGCCATTGTTTCTTAATCTTTGCAGTTTGAAAATGCATGGACTTCAACACACATCTGCCCCAAAGAGCCCTCTTCAGCTCTCATGACTTGGAACTTAAGGTCTGGCATTTCTGACCATTCAGATAATCAAAACAGCTAGCAGAAGGAAAAAAAAATCATTAAAATGCATGCATATAGGTTAAAAAATATTCAAAATGCTTTCCATCCAGTTGCCCCCGGTTCGGATTGGTTCTATAGAACAGGTAGTAAAACTGGCGGGAGGCTCCGCCCACTGACCTGGATGTTATTATAAGTGATCTACGGATGCGCAGAAGCTTCTGTGCATGCCCAGAAGAGTGTGCGAGTGAAGCGAGCGAGCGCCTGTGGGCACAATGCGAACTGGTAATAAAAGTAAGTAGAACCCACCCCTGTTTCCATCTCTCTGCTCCAATCCACAGCAACCATGTTCCCTCTAAAATTTTGGGCTGACTAGTTTTCTCATCTTATCAGTTATTCTGGACTGTGACAGTGGCTCATTTTATATGGTAGACTATGAGGATTGTAGCCTGACAGTCCAGGAGTAGTAGCTGTTGAAAGATCAACTTATTACTGTCAGCATCAATTTATTTTTATTTATTATTATATATAAAACAAATTTATATAGCCACTCAACTCATACATAGGTGACTCCAGGCAATTTATAGCATCCATCCATCTATCTCAAAATCAATATACTTCTATTATTATGCATGCATTTTTATATTTTTATTAGTTTTCACTTTTATATTTCTACTTAATGAGATCTATCAGCCATTTTTAGCATTTTAAAGAAATGCAAAGTCTTAACAACCATTTATTTACTAGATAAAAAGATCACTTAGATTGTGCTAAATTCAGATGTAATATCAGCATTTTTATAACTATATTTTCTTCCTGGTTCTATATTTTAGAAAAGCATATGAAAAGAATTAATGTTATTAATCCAGTTTCAGTTTGCTTCATCTGTTAGAGATGACACACAGTATCAAAACCAAATAATTTCCTTATGTTATAGTTAGCATTATGAAACAAAGTTGTTTAGTTGCCAAGGATTGTTTCTAAAAGCTCTTTGTATAAATCTACACTCCAGTTTGTTGGCAAGTGAAACCTGAGAGTTCAGGAGGACAGCAGACTTGAATGTTTTTTCCTCCCTTGCTTACGGCTACCCGATCTGAGATGTGAAACACCAGATTTGGATCAGGGATGGGTTCTACTTACCTTTACTACTGGTTCACAATGGGGCCACATGCGCACTCTTCTGCACATGCGCAGAAGCGTTCTGATGACATCGAGGTCAGTGGGCGGAGCCTCCCGCCGGTTTTACTGCCAGTTCTATAGAACCGGGGCGAACCGGGGGCAACCCACCACTGATTTGGATAGTAGCACAGTGAGACAGAATAGTCTAACTGCAATCCGGTGGTTATCTGATCACAGATCAAGTGGCCCTACTATTTCATTGTCCAGTTTTTATTCCAGCCATTTCAAAGATGCAGATAACAGAAAGATAAGCTCTTGATCTCCGCGGACAGGAATTAACCTTATGGGACAAAAAGCAACAGAAAGAATATGCCATCTCCTCTTGAAGTTGTAGAGATTAAGCAAAATCAAGATGGTGCCCCTGAGTTATTTGAGTAGACATGCCTGTGCTTCTGCTCTTATCTTTCTTGTGGAATCTTGCTCTGCATCTTGTCTTTTAGTAGAGGGTTCAGCAAGGCAAGAACTGTGCTGTAGGACTGCATCATATGTAGAAGTTGCTGAGACTTTATCAAAGAGGAAGTGGCTGCTATCGTACCTGACTTCACTCTAAAACACATGCCACAAAATGGAGGAGGAGAGAAGTTCAGAGAGTAAACAGCTGGAGTAGAAAGAGTTTGGTACATGGGTGTGGCGATTTCCTCTTCACTGGTGGAAAAATAGTAATGATTTTGGGCCCAAAACTCAGAACTCTTGCAAACAAAAACAAGAAACACTCCACTGAGCTTTATAACCTTTGGGGAAATGCTGCTGTGGTATACAGCCGTTATTGATGAGAGGAGAGAATTCTAACTAGATGAATGCTTAATCCTGACTCCATTTAGTCCCACAAATTTTGGTATGATGTTGTTGAGAATACTGTGCATATTCTGTGGGATTACCCATTCTAGAGTCACCCCATGGTGCACTGGCTTAAAAGATATGAGTTGTTCCTTTTCTTTAATCAAGACTGGTAGCACTTTTTTGAGTAACATATGTTGTTGAACGTCATGAGCTTTTCGGAGCTACAGTTCACATCAGTGGTGAAATCTAAAATTTGTTACTACTGGTTCTGTGGGCGTGGCTTGGGGGGGTAATGTGACTGGGTGGGCGTGGCCATTTTTTTTTTTTACTTTTAAAACCATTTTTTCTACAACCTCTTTAGCGAAGAGGTTGTAAATAAATGCTTTCAAAAGGCTCTGACGATCCCAGCTGAGTTGCCTGATCGGCAGAGACTTTTTTTATTTTAAATGCCTCTGACGATTCAAACTGAGTTGCCTGATCGGCAGAGACTTTTTTTCTTTTAAATGCCTCTGACCATCAGACAACTCAGCTTGGATCGTCAGAGGCATTTAAAAGAAAAAAAGGTTGTAGAAAAAATGCTTTTAAAAGTTAAAAAAAAAGCCTCTGATGATTGTGCGGCTCAGCTGGGTAGGGGAGGCCAGGGATTTTTGCTACCGGTTCTCCGAACCACCCGCCTCCATCACTACCGGATCAGGTGATCCGGTCCGAACCGGGAGCATCAACACCTGCACTTTCATAGCTTGGACTGATGGGGGGGGGGTTTCTTAATAGTTTTTAAACTGATTTTAAATTGTTTAATTCGGACTTTTTAATTTTATATTGTATTAATGTTATTGTGTATTTTACTGTTGTGAACCGCCCTGAGTCCATTGGAGATAGGGCGGCATATAAATCACCAGTCTTTCTTAAGAATAAGCATCTAATTTCATAGTTAGATCTTTGCCTCAGAAAATCAAAAGGACAGAAAACACTAGTTCCAAGATTTATGACCTTACTACTGTCTAATGCTGGATCCACAAAATATTGTCTAGGACCCAAAATGTACAGAGATAGAATATAGATTATATAAATGCTCTAATAGAGTAGCAGTATCCACAGAATGTAGATAATATATGTACAGTATTATAAAAAACCTTCCTTCATGGTTTTATTTATTACTTATTTATTAATCCAATTTATATTGCTGCCTATCTGTCCGAGATAGGTATTTACTCTGTATGGCAGACATACAGAGGAAAATTTGAGAATTCCAGTAAACCAAAACAAAAAACCTAGGTTGATTGAATTTTACCATTTTCTCTTGTGGCCTCATTGGAAATGTGTTCTTCAGTTGAGAAAATAGTGTGATAAATCCTATTGCTACATTTGACATACTTCCATTGTTTAATCTTTTACACTTAATGAAATAATAACATGTTCTGTTTGTCTCTCAGTTCATTACTTTCAAGTAAAATAGGTCCTGCATTAAGTCCTTTTCATTCAGATAGGGTTGTTTCTCTGCACTAATAAGATGCAGCTGCTTTGTAACCGGCATTACCTGTTTTATGGAATTATGTTTGCGAAGGCCTATGATTTAAACCAGGATATTTGCTTTTATGACAGCCAGTTTGGCGTAGAAGTTAAATATTCTAGCTAGAAAGCAGGAGACTTATGAATCTAGTCCTCCCTAAGGCAGGAAGTCAGTGGGATGGTTTTGGGCCAATTTTTCACTTTCAGCCCTAGGAGGAAGACAGCATCAAACCACTTGCCAATAATGTTGCATGGACTTGTTCATTCAGACTGACTCCAGGCACAGAAACACAAAATCCTCTTATATGTGATACTGGTATATTGTTAGTCACAAAGTAGACCATACTAAGAAATCTGACCATTGTTCATAGCAGATCTTCCTTCTGTCTTTCAAGGCTACTCCCTATGTCCTCCATACATATTTTAATTTTATGCCCTATAATTCAGAAGGTTATCAAGGTATCTAAAAATACCACTTAAAGTAATATTTTAAAAATAAGGCTTAAAACAGCAATCAGCAGTAAAAAATAAATGAAAAAAATAGAGTACCAAAATCTGTTTTATTAAACTAGTGTTCCCAACCAGATTGGTTAACTACCACTTTTATTATCTATAGTGGCTGAGGAATGATAGGCATTGTAATCCTACACATTTAATTCTATGGCTGTGAAAGAACATATAAAACACTTTCTACATTTTAGACATAAAATCATTTTAAAATTTGTTTATATCAGACGTCTATTGAGTAGTCTTCAGAAGAACATTTGAAAATTGGATTACTAGTACTGCAAAAGGTCCACTTCCCCCCATAACAAAGTAAGGTATTTTGACTGTTGATCATTGGGAATAAGTAGTCTTTAGATACTCCTGTTGTGATCTTTGGAAGTCAAAGAAAATTTAAAATGTGCACTTTGAATTATGGTTAATGCACAAACTAGAAACTGGGAGCATGAGTTCTAACTCCTCCTTAAACATGGAAAACCAGCTGGTTGACTTTGGACCAGTCACTTCTCTCAACCTCATCTCACAGGGTTGTTGTTGTAAGGAAAATAGAAAGAGGAAAGAGTAAAGTTAATCCTTGACTTAACAACCATTTGTTTTGTGACTGTTCAAAGTTACAACAGCACTGAAAAAAGTGATTTATGACCATTTTTTACACTTACAACCCCATGATCACGTGATCAGTTTTCAGACACTTGGCAACTAGATCATATTTATGATGGCTGCAGTGTCCCTGGATCATGCAATCATCTTTTGTGACATTCTGACAAGCAAAGTCAATAGGGAAGCCAGATTCAGTTAACAACCGTGTTACTAACTTAACAACTGCAGTGCTTCACTTAATAGCTGTGGTAAGAAAAGTTGTAAAATGGGGCAAAACTCACTTAACAATTGTCTTGCTTAGCCACAGAAATTTTGGGCTCAATTGTGGTCGTAAGTCTAGGACTGCCTGTATTAGGCATGTTGAGTTATTCATAAAAACAATAAAGGCAGGTTATAAAATAATAAATAAGTGAGCAAGAGACTAGAGTATTTTCAAAATATATTAAATTATTTCTCCGAATAAATTGGGTAGACTTGTGACTTCTTCTCTTAAGTTACTGGGTTTACTTACATTTCTTTCCTACCTAGTTTAGTGATTGACCTACCCAAAACTTAGCAGAGGATATAGACCATTCCTTGGTAGACATTCTGACATTCAAACCCAAGAGAGCAAAAGCCAGAATATTGGGGTGGAAAGGAAGGGCGATCAAGTAAGAGATCAATTAGAAAGTGTTAATGAGGAAAGAAGAAAAAAGAAGGAATGAGAAGAAAGTTAAAAGAGTAGTTCAAAAGCAGGAAAGAAGCACTATCTCTGACAGAAGTAGTTATGTTAATGAAGTAAATCAAGATTTAGTCCCTTTTCACAAAATGCAACTAAGAGGGAAATTTAATTTAATTTAATTAATTAAATTTATATGCCGCCCCTCTCCGAAGACTCAGGGCGGCTTTAACTACTCTACATTGGCTGGTTTTTGATAATAAATTGAAATAATTACTCTCTTGCCAATATTTGGTGATGGATTAACACAAAAGGACATTTGTATGAGGGCCTGAGGCTACACAAGACCTGTTCAATATAATATAAAAATGCTGAGCACTTTTCTGTTGGTTTTTTTCGTCAATGTATATTGCTGACATTGGTGGATTCCCCTCACCTCCATCCCTGGGAATATGGAAGAGAATCAGAGAAATATGTTTCTTTCCCATATCTCAAGTGTCCCTGACACAGAGAACCTTCCATTCTTCTAGACTTGTGACACCCTCTCCTTACTTTCTATTCAAAAATTCAGATGGTTCTTTTTTAGGATGTGCATCCTGCTAATATTAATGTCTATAATTGATCCCTTTTTAGATGCCCCACAATCACCAGGCAGCTTGAGCCGATCAACAGCTAACAAAAGTCGTATTGCTGGTCTGGAAAAGCAGCTCAACATTGAGTTGAAGGTGAAGCAGGGCGCAGAGAACATGATCCAGATGTATGCCAACGGTGCTGCCAAAGTATGTTTGTTTTCCTCTCCACTGTCCTCCTTCTCTAATTGAGAAGCTTCTCTAAGCAGAAGCATTTTTTGCCACTTTACATATTCCCACGCAATATTTCTGCCCATACAAAAAAAATATCTGTATCACTGCCCTCAGCCTGATAAATAATCTGATCACCTATCTAAGTCAGTGTTGCCTTTTGGTAGGCCTGTTCTCTTAAAAATATTAAGTTTTTTCCCAAACTGAAGTAACTAAGAAAATAAGAATTCATATCAGCATTCCTGGTTCCCCTTACATTTTTTCCCCTGCAAAGTAACAAACCAATGTGCTGATTTCCAAAGTTTCTTAGATAATCACAGAATTATCACTATGTTGATGCTCAACATATCTCCTACTAGAAACCTTTGGAATACACTGTTCTAAAATGTTTAAACACGTTATCGCACAAGAACAAGCAGCTTCTAATAACTGCTACTTCTAGGGGTTCAAGTTACCTTGAAGTAGTACATTCCCTTGCTTTGCAAATAGAAACAAAAACAGTGCAATATTTTCTTGGGAAAGGGAAAAAAAACTCATTTGGGGATTAAGCTCATTTGGGGGTTAACCCGCTATGATTAAGCTAGAAGAAGCTTAGCAGGCCAACTCCCTCCTGTGAACCACCCTCAGTTCAAAAAATCTGGAAAAATTCTTCTTTAAAACATCAAATGAAATGGTGTGGCTCATGCCTTAGCAAATTGTGGCCTAAATATCATATATAATTAATCCTATCCAGGGGTGAAATCCAGCAGGTTCTGACAGGTTCTGGAGAACCGGTAGCGGAAATTTTGAGTAGTTCGGAGAACCAGCACCTCTGGCTGGCCCCAGAGTGGGGTGGGAATGGAGATTTTGCAATATCCTTCCCCCAGGAGTGGGGAGGGAATGGAGATTTTGCAGTATCCTTCCCCTGCCACGCCCACCAAGCCACGCCCACAGAACCGGTAGTAAAAACAATTGGATTTCACCACTGATCCTATCCTGTTTGCTGATCCTTATGATCCAGAAGGCAAATATTGATTGAATTTATCGCAATGCTTCATTTTAGCATCCACAAACTTCGACAGACACCAATTCTTCTGTGAATCCTGTTTTAGTTGCTTTGGCGTCAGGAATACAATATATATATTTGCATTTTGCAGTTACAGTTTCTCACAATTTGAGAACCTGCCTCCGAATTTTAGAGTGTTCTTTAAAAAAAGAATTATTTTGGAAACAATTTTGGCTGGAAAAGTAGACAGTTCTTGTAAATAACTGAAAACTCAATAGAATCCCTGTATTCCCACTCCACTAGCAACATACAGAGGATAACAGTTGAGTCCCCAGGTTTGGGAAGTGAGTATTTATTTATTTATTTAAATTTATTTATTTATTTAATTAATTTAAATTTGTTTAAATTTATTTATTTATTTATTTATTTATTTATTTATCCATCCATCCATCCATCCATCCATCCATCCATCCATCCATCCATCCAATTTATATAGCCATCCACTGTCACATGACTCAGGATGATGTACATCATTAAAGAGCAATTATGCATTCAATAAAACCATAATAAAACAGACAAAAACCCCCAGAATATGTTATATACTGTAGACAAATAAAGTGCCAGGGGGAAAAAAATCTTCCAGTGGGTCATACTGGGCGGCAGTCTGAGGGGGGGGGGGGGGGGGGGGGAACCAGGTTCTTTAATGCCTTCTCAAAGGCAGGCAGGGTCAAGATCAGCTAGATCAACGGTTCTCAAACTGGGGGTCGCGATCCCTTTGGGGTCGAACGGCCATTTCACAGGGGTCGCCAAAGCCCTCTCTCACCCCCCCCACGCCTTCACTCACCCTCACTCTCTGCTCTGTTGGATTGCCGGCCGTTCGTTTACCCCGCCCACTCCCAATCTATTGCTGCCTCCTGAGTCCCAGCTGATGGCTAGAGGGAAAAAAACTGTTTAAATTCATGCCGCGGGGCTTCAAAGGGCTGCCCTATAGCCACTGGTGGGATTCTGCCGGTTCTAGGGGGTTTGGCTGAATTGTTTGTTAAATTGCTGGCTTGCCCCGCCCCTCCGCACCACTATTTATTGCCAATAAATAGTGGTGGGCGAGGGGTGGGCGAGCCAGCAATTTAACAAATGGTTCTGTGTTTTTTTGTAATTTTATTGGCCCGCGGAGCTTCAGCATAGGCTAATTAGCCCTTGATTAGATCGGCTCCTGACTCTCAGCTGATTTGCTCTCAGCTGTTTTGCTCAGGGCTCTGCTGCTTGCTGGAGCAGATTTTTTCCCCCTAGCTATGCTGAAAAACGAAACTGAAAGTAAAGCAGGCTGTTGGCTTTGCTGTTGCTGCAACATTGGAAAATTAGGCAGGCAGATTTCTTTTCTTTTTCCTCACCAAAAAAGGTAGGTGCAAACAATGGGAAATTTAGGGAAAAAGAGGAGAGTTCAAGATTTTAAAACACAAAAGAAAAAAAGCTCTATTTAACTAGGGAATTGTAATAATTGAGATACTATTAATTGTATATTGTGTTGAAAGCAGAAATGGTTAAATTGTGGTTTGGAGGAATATATAGGGGAAATTTTTTGGTTTATTATTATTGGTAAATATAATTAATTGATTTGTAAGAAATTGGATTGCATGGAAATAATTGGAATATTCATGTTCATATTGATTAATATACAAAAAAGGTAGTTATATATATAATTGATTTATATTAAAATGTTGAATTCATATTAAACAACTGTAATATTACATAATTAACCAATGTGAGGATGGATATAAAAATAGATGACAATGGGAAGGGGTATAATATAGAATAGAAGGGAAAAATTGAATTTGATTAAGATTAGAGATGAGGATGAAGGGTAATATTGGTTTTTTACAAAAATAGATGAGGAATAAATATGGCAAAAAGGAAATATAGAAATTGTAAATTTAATTGAAATGACTAAACACTGTTTAAATTTGTGAACCGGCCAAATACTCTGTTCAAAGAAAATACATTGTATGTTTGTATGTGTGTTTCTAATTATTGCTATTTATTCATATTTGTTCTCTTTTATTCTTTAAAGTTTAACAATTCATTCTTTATCTTAGTATCTTTATATTTGTTTGGGGTTGGCTTTCTTCCCTTTCATCTTTTTTATTGTACAGCAATCTTTCTCCTCAAACCTACCATCTCTCTCTTTTCTTTCCTTCTTACTTTCTCTTCCTCCACCTCTTCTTCTCCTCCCTACTTCCTCTTCCTTTCTCCTTCTCCTCCTCTCTTCCTCCCTCTCTTACCCTCACTCCTCCTCTAATTTCCCTTCCCTTCCTTCATCCCTCTCTATTGCTGTATCCTTTTATGCATATGGACTACTCAGAGGGCTGAAAAAATTATTTCTGACTGATCCTCACACTTTTGACCAGTCCTCGAACTTACGACTGTCCTCACATTTTACGTTTTTGCCCTATCTTGTCACCATGGTGAAGAGAAGCAGTTGTGAAATGAGTGACATGGTTGTTAAGAATGCTGCACGGGCATAAATGTGAGGATGGTCATAAGTGTGAGGACCAGTCAAAAGTGCGAGGACCTGTCAGAAATGACTTTTTTCAGCCCTCTGGGTAGTCCTTTTGTGCATATGGACTACTCAGAGGGCTGAAAAAGTTATTTTTGACTGGTCCTCGCACTTTTGACCAGTTCTCGAACTTACGACTGTCCTCACATTTTACGTTTTTGCCCTATCTTGTCACCATGTGAAGAGAAGCAGTTGTGAAATGAGTGACATGGTTGTTAAGAATGCTACAATGGGCACAAATGGTGACCAGTCATAAGTGCGAAGACCAGTCAAAAGTGCAAGGACCTGTCAGAAATCACTTTTTTCAGCCCTCTGGGTAGTCCTTTTGTGCACATGGACTACTTAGAGGGCTGAAAAAGTTATTTTTGACTGGTCCTCGCACTTTTGACCAGATCTCGAATTTACGACTATCCTCACATTTTACGTTTTTTGCCCTATCTTATCACCATGGTGAAAAGAAGCAGTTGTGAAATGAGTGACATGGTTGTTAAGAATGCTGCATGGGCATAAATGTGAGGATGGTCATAAGTGTGAGGACCAGTCAAAAGTGCGAGGACCTGTCAGAAATGACTTTTTTCAGCCCTCTGGGTAGTCCCTATACACATAGCCATGGCCACCCGGTCACATGACCACCTAGCCATGCCCACAAAATAAGCCACGCTCACAGAACCGGTAGTAAAAAAATTTAGAACCCACCCCTGGTTGGGGGTCACCACAACATGAGGAACTGTATTAAAGGGTCGCGGCATTAGGAAGGTTGAGAACCACTGAGCTAGATCTCAATGAGAATGCTGTTCCAATGGCCAGGAGCAACAACAGAGCAGGCATATCTCCTGGGTCCAGCCAGATTGATTGATTACATTTTGGAAGACGGCCCAACTCATGCTGGATGGGCAGAGTTAATGAGATAATTATTGGAGATAATAGTTGTTAATACTTAGGAAGGCAGTCCAGTTTGTGCTGTGGGTATTCTTATAGCTTATTTCTGTCTGTCTGTCTGTCTTAAACCTATTGCCAGCTACATTGGTTTTGCTGTGATTTTCAATACTTTTCTTCTATTGGAGAGAATTCAATCCACCCCTTTGGTCTTCCATCTAGGACCGGAAGTTGCTGCAGACAGCCCAGCAAATGCTACAAGATAGCAAAACCAAGATAAATATTATCCGCATGCAGATTCGCAAGGCTGTGCAAGCTGACGAAGTGCAGCTGACTATGGAAGATGGGCAAGGTGAAGGAGAGGATGAAGAAGAAACCCCTGTTTGCTGCAAGCTCTGTTTGTGCTATAGCCAGGCTGTCACTTCAGAAAGGCCAATGTCCCTGTTGCCCTTCAAACTCTTCAGGAACCAGGAAATGGTTTTTGGAACAGTTTAAAGTCCCGTCTTTTTCCCACCTGATGTGAAACCCCTATTTCTGGGTCTGGATACAGGTCTCTGGGTTTTCCTCTGGAATTAAGTACATATTAGGCACAAAGGGATCTATCATTCTTTTAAATCAGGAATTTCTTTTTTGCACTGGTGGGCACCATAAAATTTAAGAGCATGTCAAAGGGACAAAATGGCTGCTGTGGTAGGTGGGCAGTCACAATACATCCATTTATGTTTATATCCTATCAATGAGGCTGTTCTCTATATTTCCTCCAGTTCCCTCCAGCCTTGGATATTCCTTTGCTATTATTTATAGGCAAATAGTCTTACTTCCAATAGAGCAGTGGACTATATTCTTCCATCATGTTTAATTCCTCTTGAATTTACAAGGGTTGAGGATATTCTAGGAAATACATAGTTAAGGCTGGCACTGAACTAGGTAAATTGTGGTTGCTATGTCAGGGCCCTGGTGCTAAGCATACAAATGGAGATAGACTGAGTTTTTAATGTTCCTTGCAGGGAACACAGACCTAAGCGCCATAGAATTGAGAATTGAGGAGCTTCGCCATCATTTCCAAGTAGAATATGCTATATCTGAGGGTGCCAAAAACGCACTGCGTCTTCTGAGCTCCAGCAAAGTTCAGGATCGTCATGCTATTTCTGAGGTAATGGTGCATTTTCTTTGGTTGGTATTATATAATAAAGATACATAAAATGATTGAAGAAATGAAGCAGTAAGCAATTCAGTGCTGCTGTAAATTATGTGATTTTAAAATAACCTAAACTTCTTGTTCCAGTTATGCCATTCTCTGACATATATTTGCAACTTTTGCATTAACTGTTCCCAGATTGGTGTTTCTATATGTTTTTGGCATTACAAGTAAGCATTCTCAGTCGGTGTGCATATTGTCTAAATACAATTTCCTGTGCTAGATAGGCTCAGTTGTCTTTAGACTAAGCACTGTGTCTGACTTTTGGATGGAATCTTAAAAATCACAATTTAGATGAAAGTTGCATTTGATTAAATTAATATGACTTTCTGGTATATTTAATATCCCACTTCTGGCATATTAAAAATTACAGTTCAAAGACAACATTTGTATCTGTCCTGGGAGATGGGAAGTCTAGAAACAGAATAAACAAACAAACATTTGAAATGGGTCACAGTTGACATTTTGGGAGGCCACTGTTGATCTGAAGCCTCACATTCTATGCCCCTGGTCAATTAAATCTCTCAAAGAAAAAAAAAAGCAATCAGTTTTTGTCAAATAAGTTGTGACAGGTTTATTCATTGTCAGAACATTTACATCTAAGTTCTAATAATTGCTGGAGAAGAGTTAAAAAACAAGACCATCCCATCACATGTTCTGTTCTTATAAATTTCCTATAACCTGTACCGTGGGCATGGGGAATACTGCACTTTGATTTCCCACTTACAAGCTCTGTAGCTGAGATAGATGGATCCAACAGTCCACTTGCTGAAGAATTAAGGATTGTGTGCCACAGGGTGCTGAGTCTATATCCTTGTTAATACGTCAGGTAGATTGTCTTGGTTTGGAAGCTGTGTGGAAATGGAAGGAGAATTTAAAATGGGTCATTGCTAGGCTGAGCCAAATTGGCACCTGATGATCTGGGCCTTTGCTGTAGGCACAGACCAAGCTGAACGAATCAAGCCAGAAGTTGGATCTTTTGCGATATTCTCTGGAGCAACGTCTGGCTGAACTGCCTGAAGATCATCCAAAGGCCTGCATCATCAAGGAGGAACTCATCATGGCATCCTCTCCTGCCTTCAGTGCCCGCAATACCACTTCCTACCAGCATAACCAATATAATACCCTATCAAAGCCATCTCCACTTACAGGTGACTGCACTCCCCCTCCCCGTGGGCATAGGTTGGGTCAATCTATTGCCAGAATGTCTCAGTTTAGTTTTTGACTGTGTTGAGCCCTTTAAGAAGGTGATATAGAAATTAAATTGTAATTCGTAACTGTTAATACAGCAACAATCAGGACATTCCACTTAGTCAGTATCCCCCATTTCATACAATAGTTGTTTTATCTACTTTCTAATCCAGTGGTCACCAACCGGTGGTCCGCGAGAAAATTTTGGTGGTCCGCGGTGCACCAGGGTGGAGGAGCTGCTCCAGGATGAGCAATGGCCAGTCCTGTGACTAGAGCTCTAGAATATGGGACTGGCCAGGCAGCTCATGGTGGGGCTGAAAATCTCCGCTGTAAAGGGAGGTTTGTGCAATTTGCAACTTTGCAGTGCAGCCCTCACCGGCCAGAATGAGCTAATGGTGCAAGGGGTGGTGGTGGTGCAGACGGGCCAAAGCAACGGGTGGCGGCAACCCCGGGCTGTTTCTTCCCCCTGCTGTAGCTTCCTGTTGGCTAAACCACCAGTGGCTGTCCCCGCCCCTCGCCCTCCCTTCTCAGTCACTCCTCGCCTGGCAAGGAAAAGGGAGGGTGGATGGAGATTCATTCCATATTCCAGAGCAGGAGCAAAGCTTCGTTTCTTGCTGGATCTCGCGGCCGTTTCTTCCGGCACTTGTTGGTGCTCCACGCACCTCGGTCTCTCGGGGAGACGCTTGACTTCCTCTCCGCCCCAAGACACATGAGATGGCCCATGAGATGGGAGAGGGAAAGAGAATCAGAGAATCAGAGAGAGAATCAGAATGAGAGAGAGAGAGAGAATGAGAGAGAGAGAGAGAGAGAGAGAAAGAAAGACACAGAGAGAATGAGAAAGAAAATGAAAGAGAGAATGAGGGAGAGGGAGAGGGGGGACAGAGAAAGAGAGAGAGAATGAGAGGGGGAGAGAAAAAGAGAATGAGAGAGAGAAAGAGAGGGGGAGAGAGAGAATGAGAAAGAATGAAAGGGATTGAAAGGGGGGAGAGAGAAAGAGGGGGGAGAGAAAAAGAGAGAAAGAGACAGAATGAAAGAGAAAGAGTGAGAAAGAAAAAGACAATCAGAATGAGAGAATCAGAGAGAATGAGAGAGAGAGACAGAATGAAAGAGAGTGAAAGAGGGTGGAGAGAAAAAGAAAGAGACAGAATGAAAGAAAGAGAGAAAGAGAAAGAAAGAAAGAGACAGAGACAGAGACAGAATCAGAGAATGAGAGAGAATCAAAGAGAGAGACAGAATGAAAGAGAGAATGAGAGAGAATCAGAATGAGACACACACAGAGACAGAGAATGAAAGAGAAGAGAGACAGTGAAAAAGAGAGAATGCGAGAGAGAAAGAAAGAAAGAAAGAGAAAGAGAAAGAATGAATGAGAGAATGAGAGACAGAAAGAGACAATGAAAGAAAGAGAGAGAGACAGAGAATCAGAGAGAATGAGAGAGACAGAACGAGAAAGAGACAGAATGAAAGAGAGAGAAAAAGAAAGAGACAGAGAGGGAATCAGAGAGAATGAATGCGAAAGAGAGAGGGGGAGAGAGAAAGAAAGAGAAATGAGAGAAAGAGAGAAGGAGAGAGAGTGCCTGAAGGACCCCATCCTGTCACTGGGAGTCCAGGCGCTTCATCAAACGGTGCACTGGATTCGTATTAGTGGTCCATGGGATTTAAAATTATGAACTTGGTGGTCCCTGAGTTCCAAAAGGTTGGGGACTTCTGTTCTAATCCATTCTTAATCTACCTTCTTTTTTCATACACAAGTGAGATAATAGGATTTTTCCCCCAATCTCTTGCTCACTCTCTTAAGGCTCAAAGAAAGAATTGTTGTTTTTGTTTCAAACTTTCCAGACTTTGGTTCTTAGCAGTTTCTTATTGGCAGGGATCCTGGAAGTGCAGTTGTTGGGCTGCAGTGGATTGCTGGAGGTTGTCCCAGGACGTACCCGTGGCTCCACTGTCTGCCTGCCTTGCAACAGTCCTGGTGAAGCACGGCCTTCGTTCATGAGCCGCAGTGGGAGAGGGCTGTATAATCGCAGTGGTAGTGTAAGCGGCAGGACCTCCATCAAATCGGAAGATACCAGCAGTAAGTAATCCTGAGGGCAATCGGCACTAAAATAAGAGATGTTGTGACCTAGGCCCAAGTGCCTTTGTTTCTCTTTTAAGCCTTATGGGAGGGGCCAGTCATCTCCTGGCCTTACTCCTGAGTCGTCCCTTTTGCTTTACTTGCTCTTACCTTCTGGCAGCTCTGTGCATGCATGCACTAGGAACAGGCTCCTCCTGTTCCTCTGCCTCTCTGCTGTCCAACTCAGGGGGCTCCGGAGTCTGCGCATCACTCCCAGATGGCCCTGGCCCCATCTCTGACTCCGATGCAGAGCCCTCATCCGGGCCTTCCCCAGACTCCCAGGACTGGCCCATGTTCCTCCCCAGCCTCCTCACTGTCTGAATCCGCTGCGAGCTCCGCAGGCTGCTGGCAGACCACAACAAGAGAGTGAATAAGGGATGTTGGTACGTTTTAGTGTTGCATTGGTGTTAATGCAGTTCAATCATCATGAAATGAAATCCTTATATTCAGTTCTCAATCTTATTTGCTCTTTCTCAACATTCCAATTTTTCCTCTCGTAGATGAAGTAAGTGCTGTATTGAAGCTGGACAATGGAGTTGTAGGTCAGACCGCTTGGAAATCTATTGGCCTACAAGCTTGGAACCAGGTTTTCACAGTGGAATTAGAAAGGGTACGTGCAAAGATGGTGCCTGTTAATGGACTTCAGATACCAGATCTGTGCTGTATAAACATCTCTCTGCTCATATCTCTGTGGCAAAGAAGTCACATTACTCCTCCAATTTCATGCCATGATCACATGAGTAATAACTTCAGGGAGAGGAGTTATATCAGTTATTTCACTTTGCGTTCTAGTTAATGTATTTCATATTTATTAAAGTGCATCGGTTCATAATGATGTTGGTATTTCTGTGTAGTCTTTGAGATCACCATTCTTCAGATAGAGAAATATGGTGAAGCACCTGTTAATTGATTGTTAGGAAACGATTTGGACCTCGCTGTAGGAGTGGTGGATGTGTTGCTGATCTTTTTAATGAGTCCCTTCTCTCCATATCAGTCAAGAGAGCTGGAGATTGGCGTCTATTGGCGTGACTACCGCAGTCTCTGTGCCCTGAAATACCTCAAGCTGGAAGATTTTCTTGATAATGAACGCCATGAAATTCACCTGGAACTGGAGCCACAGGGTACTCTGTTAGCAGAGGTAACAAAATAAAACAAAAATTGGCATCAAGCTGGGTGGGAAGCAACTGAATTTTAATACTTAGATTATTTTAGTTGAGTGAGTGGATAGAAATTGTTGAAATCCAAAAAGAGCATGGTAGCAACAACATGTCCCAAATATGGCCTGCAATACTTTTATACAGTGAATGGATTTAAACAATGGCAGCTTTTATATATAAGTGTTATATGTGCATGTTACAATTGTGGAGAGAATGAAGGGAGAGCATTATTATCTACATGGTACTGAAAAAGTATTCAGGCATCTTATTTTCCTGTTTCCAGTTCTTGTGTGTGATAATTTCAACATTAATCCATACGTGCTGTATGTTTGCAACACCACATACTTAGCTATAAATCAATTACATGAGTTTTCCTTCCCACCCCCCAAAGGGAGTGGAGTGGGGAAGATGTGGGCCATTAGATGTCATTGGACTCCCACCAGTCTGGCCAATGTCCAGGCATAATGGAGCTATATTAGCGAGCAATGTCTTATGGATTCTAGGATCCAATCTCTACTCGGCTGCTTCATTATAGAATCAGGCATTTGCTACTTAGTTTATTCAACCTGGAGAGAAAGTCGATCCCTTATCCCGTATTGATACTGCATTGTATCAGAGTTAAAAGCATTCTTTATATAAAAACTGTGGTGTGAGATTCTTCAATTTGTTCACTCAGCCTGTTTGCATCATGCCATATCAGCAATGAAAAGCGGGAGTCAGGTGAAAAGAAACTGACAAAGCTTTATTTATTTATTTGAATTTATTAGCTGCCCAATTTCAAGGGATTCACCTTATTCCCAGAAGTCAGCAATTTTTCATGAATGTTAAAATCCCAAGTACTTTGAGAGAGCAAATGGTCCTCAGGAAATGCTTAACCAGTGTCAGTAGTAAGACTCCCCACAGTTTATCTTCAGTAACTCAAGGACAAAACATTTTCTTTCTTTCTTTCTTTCTTTCTTTCTTTCTTTCTTTCTTTCTTTCTTTCTTTCTTTCTTTCTTTCTTTCTTTCTTTCTTTCTTTCTTTCTTTCATCATTGATCAGACATGGCACTATTGCCTGTTGTGAAAATTCAGTTTTACAAATATGTTTTGAAATAATGTTACTACTTTTAAACAATTATTTTGATACTGAGCCCTATTGCAATATGCTACTTGTAAAATTGCCATTTAAAAAAAATAAGGGACAAATAATCAGCAAAGTTATTCCCATTCCACATCTTTCTATTTGCAAAAATTCCCCATATTTTAATCAACCTAGTTTTTTTCTTTATGTGCATCCCCCATATTTAATATTGGATAAAATATTCCCTGATTGTCTTTGAAAAATGGTATTGCAATTTTCAGCAATCAAATCAGTATATGATGATGGAATATTTTAGCTCTAGATTGGAACTAAATTGCACTAAAACTTGAATTATTGTGGAATACCTCGATGTATAATTTATTACAGTTTATGGAACAGATAAGTGGAAATGTTCCTGTAATAAAAGCTCAGCCTTAAAAAATAAATGTATAACTGTAGAATTACTGAGCAAAATTGTCAGATAGTCTGGGACAACATTGTTATTTTTTGATGTCCTACATTTTACATGATGCTAAATTTCAAATCATTAAACATAATGGATTGTAATGGATAAATATTTCATCCTTTGAAATATTTCAATTTAGTACAGTGGACTAAAGCACTGTTATTAACATCTGCTGCTTGCAATTACTGCAAGTTCAAATCTCACCAGGCTCAAGGTTGACTCAGCCTTCCATCCTTTCAAAGGTAGGTGAAATGAGGACCCAGATTGTGGGGGCAATAAGCTGACTTTGTATAAATATACAAAAGTATGAAGGCTATTGCTTAATGCATTGTAAGCCATCCTGAGTCTCCGGAGAAGAGTGGCATATAAATTAAAGCAAAAAAAAAAAATAAAAAAAAAAATTGGTCAGTTTCTAATGAAACTTTTTACTTTATGGAAAATTTTTGCCATCGCAAACAATTCACATTACAAGATTATTTGCTTATAATTAACACTATCCTTGAGATGCTAAGTGAAGTAAAAATATTTTAGTTTTGTTGTGCTTCATTAATTGGGTTAGAGGTTCTTATCCAGTTGTGACTCTCCAGAAGCCATACTAGATATCCTTGCTTGTAGAGTCTCAAGGCTTTAGCTTGGGGCTGGATCCCACACTTTAACTCTTAGACATGCTGCTAAGATTATTCCAAGATTTATTTTTTTTAAATCTCTCTCTGCTTTATTTGTTAAACCTATGGCTTTAATCATTTTGGGACTGCGTTTATTTTATATTTCAGCCAGGTTGTGATTCACTTTGAATGTATTAAAGATAAAGAGTAGTAGGAAAATATTCATAAATAAACATCTGTGATTTCTGGTTATAAGCTTGATTTGGGGGATTTGATCTTTCAGCTATTGTAGAAAGTAGGCAGTAGAACTGAGGGTGGGAGGCTTGCACTCTGAGGGCTGATGGCTGATAAGGTGCTGATGATGGCTGAGGAGGAGGAAGAGGACTGAATTCCTCCTTTTAGATGGAGGCTCCTCAGCCCCAATCAGCCAGAGGTTGCTGTTTGCATCTGGATTGATCTAACTTGCTGAACAGCCTCAGAGCCTCAAGACTGCTTTTCACTGCAGCAGTGTTGCAGCAGGAGCTGTATCTCAGGATGCAGTGCACTTTTGCCTGGCTTACAGTACACTCTCTTGCTGCAGGTTATCTTTTTTAACCCTGTCATTGAGCGCATACCCAAGCTCCAGCGACAGAAGAAGATCTTTTCCAAGCAGCAAGGTAAGGAATCAGACCACAGTTTGAATCTTGATCAGTCAGCTTTGCCTGGTCTGCTTGGGCGCTTCCTTAGTCTACAGTGTTGCAGGACTGGGTCATACTGATTGCCAGCTTGGTTAGCTTTGAGAGAGAAATGGCATTGGAAATAAGGTGCTGGAGTATCACATTGGCATATTTTTCTTGTGGAAGATCTGTTGTTGCTCTTGCGACAAATAATGTTGTTCACATTATTCTCATCGTGTGAATGAGGAAGGGTGAGGATGAGCAAGCCAAAGATGAGCTTCTCCAAAGTATTTTTTTCTCCAAGGGAACATTTCCTGCTAGGAGCTTGGACAGAAAAGTAACTTATTGGCCACCCCAATGAAATTTAGTCTTGTAATGTATTCAGCTATTTTTGGCTGCATTTAAATACCCCATTCCATAAGTTGAACACATCATTTTCATAAAATGGCTTCAGTAGTTGCTTTCATTAAATGTTAAATACCTGCATCTTTTATGAGAAAAATGCACATGCATGGGTATCTAGAAACATACATAGCGTACTTTAAACATTAAGAGTTCTTCAATTCCTTTAATTTAACCTGATCCTTACAAAAGATCCTTTACCATAACAGCTTTATTATAATCTATACTTTGGGGATAGGTTGACTGAGTTTAATGAGGATTGGAGTCCAATAACATTTGGAGGCCTTCAGATTTCCTAGTCCATGTTGGATGGAGCTGGCAGTAAAAGGATAATAGCTTACATTGGATATACAATAGTGGTCTGGCAGAAGGGGCATGCTGCAGACTCCGTCAAAGGAATCTTAATGTGTATACCTGCCATCACATGCAAAATTCCAGCTGTTCTTCTTCATCTGTTTCTTTCCTAGGGAAAGCTTTCTTGCGTGCTCGTCAGATGAACATTGATATTGCCACATGGGTACGTCTCCTGCGACGCATCATTCCCACTGCCAGTACTACAGGCACTTATAGCCCCTCAACGCAGATGACTCCAACATCTGGCTCAGAAAGTAGGCAGAGCTCTGGGTAGGTGTTTCTTATACTTGAAGGTGAGGGATGAACAGCTAAAAATCTTAGCTGCTGCAGCAATTAAAAACCATGCTTTCTTTTTTCATATTATACTTCTTTTATTTCGTTGCTATTGGCTGATGAAAGAAAGCTAAGGTTTGGACATTTCTAAATCCATATATTTGAGGAAAGAAAGGTGTCCCTGCAGATTTTACTCTGCTAGTCATAACTGATTATAAGGGGTGGCTCATCTCCGTTCCAGGGGCCATTGAGCCAATGCTGTCCAAAGATATTTTTGCGGTCATGTGGCCAGCATGACATCATGGAGCACTCTCTCCTTCCCACAAAAATGGTACCTAATTATCTATTCACATTTGCATGCTTTCGAACTGTTAGATTGGCAGGAGCTAGGCCAAAACAGGAGCTCACCCCATTGAGCAATGCTTGTGTCTTGAACCCAGGTTGTCGGCTTTCAACTGATAAGCCCAGCATCTTAATTGCTGAGCCATTGAACCGCCTGTATTTGAGAGGCTAATGTAAAATTCCTTGGACCACAAGATGTCTGGCTAAATCACCTCAGTATTATAGGCCTAAAGTAAAATTTGTCCCCATGTTTATCTTACCACATCCCTTACTGTTGACCATGAAGGCTAGGGCTGCTTGTAGTTCAGAAACATATGGAAAGCCATCAGTGTCTCAACCCCCTGATGTTCTGGAGTAAATACCTGAATTAACCCAACTTCTCCTCAGGTTGTAGTTTCTGTAGTAATTTTCCATGTGATTCTTAAGATTGGCATTTCCCCCCATCCAGGGACATTGCCATTGAGAAGCTGAATTTGGATGGGGATAGAGTTCATATTGGGCATTTGGGCCAGGATGATGCTGAGCTTCCTGGGAAGGTCTTACTGGTAAGTGTCTCCTTTTCAGTTTGTCAGCAGTGAAGCTGCTGTTTTCCAGCAGTTACTTCTTTTTTATATTTCTATTTATTTATAGACTTCACAAGCTGGGGAGGAGGTCTTTCAGATGGAGTTAGGTTCAGGAGGTGACACTAGAGGATCTGAAAGTACTTTTCACAGGTAGGTAACAGCTTTCTCCTCTGTTTTCTGACATCATAGACTCTTTTAATTGTTTTATCTTGCTATTAATTACCATTTCCTATGAAATGGGTTATTTATATCTCTAACCCCTTGTGCTGTCAGCAATTATAAACAGTCTGTGTTGCAAATAAATGCATAGTTGTTGATACATTGATTTTTCTACTTAGGATTTGGTTCATTAAAAGTGCACAATGCATAGTGGTTCAAAAACACTAATTGAAATGAGGATATAAATGTCACCAGTATAATGTTTGATAATAAATGATTTAATTCCCCATCACGGTAGAACGTTCACAGCTCACCTTGCAAGCAGTGAATTCTAATGGGAGTTGAGTTAATATATCTCTAGGCAAAACACAGATAATTTCCTTGTCTTTAGATGTTTCTTTTCTTTTGCTCCCTCTCCTTGACCTACATCTCGTATGTGCTTACTGATAAAATTATGCCAGTTAAATCTGGTGGTATGCCATCAATTACATCCTACATTTATCCCATATAAGTCCTTTAGTGATGTGATTGTGCAAGATACAATTATTTTGATAAGTCCCTGTATAAAGAACTATGGGTGGTTTGTTTTGCTAATTTCAATCCTATTTATTTATCTAGTAAATGAATAATGCCTGTCTCAAACTTCCTTCTTAACTTGTTTAGATGTAGTTCCCAGAATTATCTTCAGTGGCCATCATGGCTACAAATTGGGAGGGTTGGGGAAAGTTTTGTTACATATTCATAAGAAAAAGGAATGCCCAGAGCTGATTTTTCTAAACCATTGACTTTCTTTAACAACTTTATTTCTGTATAAGAACTTGTGTATGTGTGTTATGGTAGAGCTGGTGGTAGGGAGCCATCCCTGACTTGCTCTTTTATTTTGTAGCAGCCATCTGAGAAAAACACCTCTCACTATGGATGATTTCCATTTTGTAGCTGTGCTAGGTCGTGGACACTTTGGCAAAGTGAGTATTGCATGCCCACCTCCCAGTTTTTCCCAGTATCTCTCTCTCAGTACAAAACAGCTGCCTCCATCTTGGTGGATGCAGAAGCATCAATTAGTAGCAGAGAGAGAGTAAACACAGGATGGAATGCTGCAGTCCTCGTTCCTTTCATTGTTAATACATGTTATTGTTGAGAAAGAAAATAAAAGAAAGATAGAATGGTATACAATGAAACAGCTCAGATTTTAAACTTAGCATTAAACCTTGACCACACAGAAAAATATTAATCACTCTTTCCATTATATCAAAAAAAGAATTAAATTACTAAACAGAGAGCAAACAACTAATACCAGCTCAAGATTATCAATCTAGATACTAAATTTGATCTTTGTCAAAAATTCTTGACAGCACTGTCTTTTTCTGTCATAAATGACTAATATTTTGTTACAATTTTAATATTTGAAATTGAATTAAATTTTGACTAAAAAAGGGACCACTCATTTCTATCCTATTGGAATAGAGTCAGATAATAATTTGGTTCCATAATAAATGCAACTCAACACACACACACACACACACACACACACACACTGATAAAGCTGACATTCAGGACAGTTAAAGCCCCTATCATTATATGATAATTTTTTTAGATTAAGAAGATTTAATGGATGGTTGTTATAAAAACATTCCTAATAATTTATCAATATGCTTGAAATTCTTCAAACTCTACAGTAAGTATAGATACAGCGATCTTGAAGTAATACTGATTTTTCATCTTTTTCTTTTCTTCATTCTTCTTCACCATGTCTTTTGAAACTTTAATAGGTTTCCTTTGTAACTCCAATACAGGTAATCCTTGACTGAGGACCACAGTTGGGCCCAAAATCTCTATCATTTGAGTGAAGCAGTCATTAAGTGACACTTCATGTCACTGCTTTGCTCAACAAGCACAATCCCATCTCACCCAATTGCTGTTGTTAAGCAGAATGTAGAGGTACCTCAAGGAATGGGGAAAGCTCCGGGAGGCCCAGGGCCCATTGGTACACAGAAACCTTCTATGAGCTAAGAGGCATTGGGCGCTCCACAGACTATAACGCATGCAAAGCTACTGCATTCCTGCAGGTCTTCAGACTGCTCTCCACCCAGCCGTGTGTGGAGCCCTTGGCCAGTTCCAGGGGTTACTGGGACATATGAAGCTGCTGTAGCCCTGGCAGTGTGGAGGAGCCTTGGCTGGCTCCTAGGGCTACTGGCACACATGGAGCTGCCACTGCCCTAGACGCCTTGCCCTGCTCTTCATCCAGTCACCCAGCACTCAACTTACCTTTCCATTTTTCAGAACCTTTTGACAGACACACCAGCCAATGAGAGTGGTGGTCTTCCTACAGAGGCAGCCTCATGCCATTCTACAAGTGGGTGCTATTCTTGCAATCCTTTGAGACGGGGGTCTCCAACCTTGGCAACTTTAAGACTTGTGGACATCAACTCCCAGAATTCCCCAGCCAGCCATGCTTGCCAGGAAATTCTGGGAGTTGAAGTCCACAGGTCTTAAAGTGGCCACAGTTGGAGACGTCTGCATTAGGAGGGTCCCTTTTAAAGAAGATTAGGTATCGTGAGAATAGTGTCCACTTTGAGGGCTGCTTGAAGCCCTCACAGTGGTGAGAATTTTTATGCCCATGATTCAACTGTCAGCATGCCACTTCATATTGCAAAGGTCATAAATGTATGTTCCCATTTTGTTGTAAAGGTCATAAAAGTGTCAGTTTGAAGTGAATTGTATTATGAAGCTTTCATATTTTTTGAAAACTATTTCAAGAGGTTCTCTAGGCTACAAAGATGATCTAGATAAATCTAATTCTGTATACTTTCTTCCAGTATAACCTTTGAGTCAATATTACAGACTTAAATGTATTGTACACTTAAATGTACTGGCATATTAGATCAGAATCATATACTTTGTTCTGGACATTCTCTGGTAGAATTGATGCTCTTTGGTTCTTATCATTTAATGCACATTGTGTATCAAATGCAGAAAAGGAATTACGTTCCAATTTAATAGGCATAATACTTTATGCAGTTCCATTGTAGGTTCTCTTGCATATGTTCTAAAAGCTCCTAAACTTTATTTTCCAACTTTTTTAAGGTGTTTTATTTTTCCCTGAAGTATGTTCAGTCATATGGCTACAAATATATGCCTTAAATATAGCCAAAACAACCATTATGTTTTTAGAATGTTTATTTTTTAAAAAAATATTTAAAGTAATATTTTATCTGTTTTAAGTAAATCCTTTCATAACATATATGTATCTTGGAAAAATAGGATGACATTTTTTAATAATAACTGTTGGTGTTACCAAAACAAAATCAGTTATTGCAGTAGGATTTAGCGTATATAATGTTTATATGCCTGATCAAAATCAGAATACTAAAAAACAATCAAGCTAGGAACAAACCTGATGCAGAGCTGAAATATATATTTTTTCTCTGTGAGCCTCCTTTGCATTACCTGACCACTATTCCTAGTCACCGATCAATATCTTAACTAATGACGTTGCTTCTGTTCATCTTTAATATAGGTGTTGTTATCTGAGTTACGCCGAACAAAAGAACTGTTCGCTATTAAGGCATTAAAGAAAGGGGATATTGTTGCAAGAGACGAAGTAGAGAGGTGAGTTAACTGGGAGTTAGAAACGGAAAAGGTAAATGCCCAGACAAATATATAATCATAGTATAGAACCGCTCACATGTGCAAGTCTGTCAACGTCTGTTCTTTTGAATGATGTGTAGTTGGGCACCATGACAATTATGAAAGTGATAGTTAACATGACTGAGGATCACATGGCTGTCTCCCATCCTGATAATAGTTTTCCCCTTCTTCCTAGCCTGATGTGTGAGAAGCGGATTTTTGAGATCGTGACCCAAGCACGGCATCCTTTCCTAGTGAACCTTTTTGCCTGTTTCCAGACACCCCAGCATGTCTGTTTTGTCATGGAGTACACAGCAGGTGGTGACCTCATGATGCACATACACACCGATGTTTTCTCAGAGCCACGTGCAACGTAAGTGCCACATCAGAGAGAAGAAGACAGACCTTACAGTAGAAAAATGCAGCTAAGGAGTTCCTGAAAGGATCTTGTTGGGTGCCATTTTAAATGTTGCTATCCTTTCAATATACTGAGAGCAGATTTAGATCTTGGTTTTCAGTCCTATTTATTTATTATATCATAGTTCACTCTTAACATTATAGCTCCTACAAATGGAAATCATTGTTGGCTACTAGAATAGAGCTGGCATTACCTGTGCTGCAGTGGTTTCACAATGTGTTCTCACCTTTAGGTTTTATGCTGCTTGTGTTGTCCTGGGCCTGCAGTTTCTTCATGACCACAAGATAGTATATAGGTAAGTATCACTATTAAAGCCATTCCATATATTCCCTTTCTTTCCTAATTTTTTTTCTGCATCCTTCCACATCATCATATTATTGCACTATAGATAGTCCTCATTTACCGACCACAGTTGGGATTGGCAACTTCATAGCTATTGACAGAGTTGGAAAGTGAAATGTCATATGACTGCAATAAGTTACGATGTCTGTTCTAGCTGCAGTCATTAAGCAAATCAAATCAGTGGTTATTAAACATGATGTCATGTTAGTTTAACTTGTGACTTCCTGCAGCTTCCCTATTGACTTTGCTTTTTTGGAAGCTAATTTTGAAGGTCATCAATGGCCATCACATGATTCCAGGACACTGTAACCATTGTAAATATGCGCTGATTGTCAAGTGCCCAAATTGTAGTCACATGACTCCGGAGACACTGTGACAGCTACAAGTATGAGGACTAGTCATAAGTCTCCTTTTTCAATGCGGTCATAACTTTGGTTGCTTAATGAGCATGTTGTGACTTGGGCTCCCGAGCCTGTCCTCACGGAGGAAGATGACTCTGAAAGTGATGGGGAGGAACTGACAAGGCCTCCCTCTCCAGGACCCTCCTTTCTGGCAACGCCTCAGGTTCCAGCTGAAGGCCAGGAGGAAGGCATGTCGGAGCACCCACTAATAGGGAGTGATGATGATCAATCTTGTATTGATCCCAGGCAGCATCGGAGGGAGAGGCGTGCGCAGCAAAGGAAGAGATGTGGAAGGGTCAGAGATTGCTGAATCACTGAGCCATGCCCCACAGGGGATAAAAGTGGGTGGGGTTGCTCTGCAGGCTCTGTGACGGACAAAAACTGCATATCGTGAGCTTCGGATGGGATATCTTTCGGAATTAAGGCTTGGACTTTGTGAATGACTTCTGACTACTCTTTTGTGCCTTGTGAACTCTTGGTTGCCCCAGCAACGGACTACAGATACGCTGACTCCTGTTTCTAGAGGCGATAAGAAACTTGGCAGGCATTCGGAAAGTAGCTGCCAGCACTTTTATCTGCCAAAGGATTCAGGTCGGCTTGTAAAAATAAATTACTGGTAGACGTCTTTTGCTCGTGTGTCTGCCTATGTGAGGTAGGGGGACAGAACAGAGCAGTCAGTAAAGAAGAACAAATTGCATACTAATTTCCAACTCCTTCATTCAAGTAACTACTTTCACTTAGCAAGGATAAGTGTTGTTCATACCATTTCTCCTAAGCATGATTTTTGAAATGTAGTAATGTCTTTAGATTCTGCCACAAAGAACTAAGGTTATAATGGAGGATTCCTGTGTAAAAGTTTTGCCTTAGTAACTCCTTTGTGGCAGTAGGTAACAATTCCTGCAAAATACATAGTTATTTTATTTAAAAGTTTTCTTATCCTTCAGGGATCTGAAGCTGGATAACTTACTATTGGACACAGAAGGCTTTGTGAAAATTGCAGATTTTGGCCTCTGCAAAGAAGGTGATTTTGGGGCATGGGATAATTGTCTCCAAAGTTGGCATAAATATTTTAAATAAAATGAAAACATAATGTGTCTTTCGGCATTATACTGGCTTGATTAGCAGAAGCTGATCTGCAGCTGCTCCAAAAAAACTTAGTTGTCACTTGGGGAGAGAAGAAACTGCAAAAGAGATGAGAGAAGCATCTGTTTTGCCAAGATTTTTTTGTACAATCACCATGGCATGTATGTGGTAGTCTTATGATATACAAAAATATATAAGTTAGCAGTGAATGTTGGAGAAAAGTCCCTATTCAGGGGTGTTTCTAGGGACTGTGGTCAATAACATCAAAATGTCAAATGTAACCAGGTGACCAACTCCCACACCATTTTACCTGTGTGCGATGCATTAGGGGTGGGGTGGGACTTCAGTTGCTCAGTTGTTACACTCACCATTTGGATGCCATTCACCCTTCTCCCCCTAGCTGTGGACAATCCTGTTCCTACTTCAGAACTTTCTATGAAGATTTCAAAATTCTTGTTCTTCTCTACACATTTGTTGAGGATTGTTGCTGAAGTCGTATTTTTAATACAGCTTTCCTTTGTTTGCCAGGAATGGGCTATGCCGACCGTACCAGCACATTCTGTGGGACACCAGAGTTTCTGGCTCCTGAGGTGCTTACAGACACCTCCTACACAAGAGCAGTCGATTGGTGGGGCTTGGGGGTCCTTATTTATGAGATGCTTGTAGGTGAGGTAAGTCACCCTTATATAATTATGGAAAACAGCAAGTGGGTCAAAAAGGGTTTTTTTTGGATTAGATAGCAATAGCACTTAGACTTATATACCGCTTCAGTGCTTTACAGCCCTCTCTAAGCAGTATACAGAGTCAGCATATTGCCCCCAATAATCTGGGTCCTCATTTTACTCACCTCGGAAGGATGGAAGGCTGAGTCAACCTTGATGCTTTGAAATGGGACTTTATATCCTGTTTGAAGTATGCCATTAAAACATTAAGGGTAAAATAAACTAAATGGGGTCTTTAAATGTGTGGCATAACAGGGTTGAAATGTTTCACAGGGAGCTTGATATAGCAGGCAAAAGTATTTCTTAATCTGGGCAACTTCCAAGGGTGTGGTCTCCAGACTTTCAAAATTCCCCAGGAAGCATGGCTATTGCTTGAACTCTGGGACTTCAAGTCTGGAAACTGTCCAGGTTGGAAGATGCTGATCCAGTTTCTCAAGTTTTTCTGGGAATCTAGGATTGGTGAGGATGGATGGAATTGGTTCTGAGAACGATGGAAGAACCCAGACTGACATCCAATTCTGTCCCAATTGATGTTGTAGTCCCCATTCCCAGGAGATGATGAAGAAGAAGTATTTGACAGCATTGTCAACGACGAAGTGCGCTACCCCCGTTTTCTTTCCACAGAGGCAATTGGAATCATGCGCCGGGTGAGTGCCTCTTGCTTCAGCTATAAATTCACCAGGACTAAAACTGGAGAGGAGATTCTTCTAATGGGGTTGTAGCATTAGGAGAACACATGGAGACTTGAACATAAAGAACATAGGTTTAGCTGCAATGATTCCATTCCTGACATTAGGTTGGGGTAGGCAGGAAAACATAAAGCACGATAGCCATGTAAAATACTGTTATGGGCTTGGGGGAGAAGGTGGTGGATGAGAATGGTTTTGTCTGCCCATGTTGATTTGCTGTTGACGACCTCACTTTTCATTCAGCTGCTGCGTCGGAATCCAGAAAGGCGCTTGGGGTCTAGTGAGCGCGATGCAGAAGATGTGAAGAAGCATCCATTTTTCAGAGTCAGTACTTTGTTCCTTTTCTATTCTTTCTTCAGATTGTTAGTTATGGATTCTTTCCAAGAAAGCTCTGCACTGTCTTCTGGACTAAAACTATCAATTGAGACCATCCTTCACTAGGGCTATATCAGAGCAACCAAGACAGTGTTCCTTTGTGCCTTCTTAAAGAAGGTCGCTCTGTGCTAGCGCAAAAAGCAGATCCCTTATGTCTGCTTTAAAGGCAGAGAAATTTTAATCTATTAAAACATAGACTACTTGTATCTGATCACATGGATGCCAGTTTGTGAATGCTTATGCTATAAAAAAAGCAGTCTTGTTGCTCCCAAAACACTTTTACTGTCTGTGTAAGTTTTCCTGAAGTGGAAGATTCCCTGCACTGTTTCTGCATCTAAAATCTGTAGCTCAAATGAAGTACAGCTCAAATGAAGGGCTACCAAATACGGATTTTGAAAAGAAAGCTTCTTGCTCTGAAATGGATGGTTTTTATTAATTCATATATTTCCAGCATCTTGTAGCTTATTTTGTATACTCTTCTTGCTTCAGATAAAGGACTCGTGGTGTGTTATTTATTTATATAATTTCCTTTTCTGATTAATATTAACAATCATCTCAAAGAAGTCAGAGTTCTTACTTTTTTCCCCCCTGTATACAGACCATTGAATGGGAAGCTTTGCTGGCTCGTAAGATCAAACCACCTTTTGTGCCAGTAATTAAGGGCCGTGAAGACATCAGCAACTTTGATGAGGAGTTTACTGCTGAAGCAGCTGTGCTGACACCACCCCGTGAATCACGGCCCCTCACCCAAAAGGAACAGGATGCCTTCAAAGATTTTGACTATGTCTCCAGTGTCTGCTAGCTCCGGAAGTGAGGGCAAGGAGATTTCCTCAACACTGCCAGCTCAGTGAGGCAGAATTCTGTTCCTCCGTTGACTCAAAGACACTTCCTAGTACTGCCTGCTAGCCCCAGAAGCGAAATCCAGAAAAAACCAATCACATTGCTAACATAATGGGAAACGAGTAGTGTTCACCAATGTATGCCTGGTCTGGGATTAGAAGGGCAAATTCCAGTAATATTTCTGCATTGCGCAGAACACAGTATAATTCATGCAGAAAGTTGGGCACCTGCTGGCTCAAAGGGAGGGGAGGAAAGAGAAAGAAAGAGAGAAAGAAAGAACGATTGACAGCCAACATAACTATGTCAACCTGCATCTTCATGAAACTGTTATTTGTCTACAATGATTCCCAAACTTTCTACTGGAACAAGCAGAACTATTAGGAATCCACAGTACTGGAGATGCTGAAGTCAAAGGGCCATTCTCTGCCCTAACATACTGTTGTGAAGGATTTTTTAAAACCATATTGTGAAAAAAAAGGGGGGGGTTGCCTTTCTGATACTATTGCTGAAATTTACTGCTTCAAATTCTAACCCAGAAGGGAAAACTGAATCTCATTCTGCATCACAGCTTTCTTTCAGTATTCAGTTACCGGTGCACAAACTCTCTTGGGTAGATTTTGAACCAATTCTGTAATTCTGGGCTTTCTTGATAACCATTTACAAAAATCTCTCGTTTTTTCCCCCCTCAAGAATTAACTCCAGGTTCATAAGATAGACATATGTACCGCTAGTGTAGGTGTGTAAATTATTATCTTACCCTTCCTTGGAATTCACAGGCTTTGTGCCCATCCCATAGTGGTAGCTGGGGCAGAAAGCTTCTTAAAAGTCCTAACTCCCATACTCCGAACAAATTAGTTTGGATATTGGTGAATATCTAGGTCTAGATGGGAAATAATTGCATTGAAATAATTGCAAGAAACAATCAAGAAAATAGTGGGGCACCAAGAGAAAAATTCTTGCTCATGTGATTCTGGTCACCAAATTATAGTAATTTAATGAACATTACATTACACTTGAACAGTGTAAGAACCTATATACCTGCACCTGCATAGGTAGTTTTCAGTTAAATGGCCAACAAACCATACATGCAGAGGCTCATTTAATATTTTAAACTGGAGAAGGACTTCTCAGGACAAAATACTTGATTCAGTGAGGGGATATACTTGATTATACAGCAAAATCATTGTGGATTTCAGAGCAACATGAACTCAAATCCATCATTTGGAAATAATGATCAAATTGTTTTGTTTCCATTTCATATCCCAGTTTTCTTGGAGATCTGTATACTATTATGCCAAGAGAGTATATCTCAGATCTCAGGAGAAAAAGTGGTTGAGACTAGATGCTTTCAGACAGATAATTTAGACCTTTACAATAAAAAAAAAATCTAGCTATTTTAGTTTATTTTTCTGTAATAGATCTTCTGTAGTTAGAGAAAAGAAAGGGAAATGAAGGGATAAAAAACAGAGGAAAGTTATAAATGAACAGCAACACCAGAGCATGAAATGAAATACACAAATAAGACTGGAATAGGTTTGTATAACTCTGTAGACTAAAATGTAGCTGGCTAATTTATGGTTCAGTGTGTTGTGCAAACTCAGTGAGATTGGCTTATGATTTAATAGAAGTCAGCCATTTCCCAGACACTTCTTGCTAATTTGTTAGTTTTATCAATAATTTTGCCTCTAGTATTCCTAACTTTCACTAGTGACAATATACTTGTGCTTGCCCCATTCTGCCAGTAAGAAGATATACTGTACAGGGCTAGATAGAGTTTTGAGTTATTGCTCTGGCAATTAAAATATTCATGAAGAAAGAGGCAACGAGAAAGGAGAAGGACTTTGCGGTGTGTCTAATGAAAGCACAATTCTTTTCAAAAAGCAACATCTACTGTTATAATTGTCCACATTAAAATAACTTCATTAGGTTCATTCTGTATCAGGATCACCTGTCCTACAGAATGATTGGTTGCCTTTCTTCAGCCGTCATTGGGAAGTATTCTACTTTTTTATTAATCTGACTTACTTCCTTACAGATGATCTGAAATGTTTGAATGCAGATACAGAGGAGCATAAACAAAAATGGCAATATCTCAAGTGCAATACATTATCTTTTTTTTTAAAAAAAATAGTAAGCTGTGCCTAGTATTATGAGTTATGCCTGGGGTAAAAACATTTTTAGAGGTCACTGCCATCACTTTGTGATTACCAAAGTATGTCCCTTTAAAATACATTGGTCAAGAGATTAGAACAAACCTGCCATTTTTAAGAAAGGCAAGTCTGATTTGTTACATGAAATGGGACAGAACTTTTACATCTTTCATTTTTTTTCTCTCAAAGAAGACTTTTCAAGTCTCATGTAGTCCTGTACCAGAATTGAAAGATTGGTAATAATTTTAATTTAAAGAAAGCAACAAAGGTTCCTTCTAGATGTAAACTGCTTTTTCAAAAGAGTACAAGCATGGATTTGTTGCTGTGTTGTGCATGGTAAGGAAAAGGCACAGTCACTCTATTGGGAAGGATTAAGAACGAGGCTTAGAGAGAAACTCAAGCATATATGTGATTTATTTAAGGGGCTTGAGGTTTTAATTTTTGTTTGCTCCTTCTGTACCACTGTGTTACATTACCAGAAGTGGACTGCACACATCTGGACAACCACTAGATAGTAGCAAAAAGATGCAGATAACTTGATTCTAGCAGTCATCTGGATTTTTTGCAGCTCAAATATGGCAGACCACTAGTTGCTTGCTTTTTTTTTTTTTAATCACCAGAAAAAATGGATGCATTCATTATTTTTAATTGCAGCATAGCCTGCTATAAAATCAGAACTTCAGGTTTCAGTCCTCCATTATGGAGATAGTCCTGGTGCAATCTAGATCACAGAAATTGCACAGCATTGCAACATGAATTCTGAAGAACGGCCTTTATTAGCAGAAAGGGTTTTAACTTCCTGTGTGCCTCCTCTTCTGCCTTTTAGATCTTTTCCAAGGCATGTCCAATCTTAGTAGCTATGTGAATTTGTGCTAAGAGACACTATCATGCTAAAACTGTCTCGTTCATTAAGTTTCCTTTATTATTGTTACTACCTCTGTTGCCTGACCAGGACCACACTGTGTTATAAAGCCTGAGTTTTAAACTGTATACATTTCACTACAAATGTATTGAGTTTATCAAAATATTGGAAGATATTGGCAAAAACAAAAATTCCTTTAACTGAACATTCATCATTCAAGAGGTAGGACATGTGAAGGGTATTCTAGCCTTCCTTCAAATTAGATTCATAGATTCTAGACCAGGGGTGTCAAACTCAAGGCTCGGGGGCCAGATCCGGCCTGCAAGGTACTTAGATCTGGCGTGCAGGGCCACCCTGGAAACAGTGAAGGACCAGTCCGTGGTACTTCTGCCAGCGAAAACAAAGCTCAGGAGGGCTGCGTGCAGCCCTTCCGAGCTCCATTTTTGCTGGCAGTGGGTTGCAGGAGGCTGTGGCAGCCAAAAACAGAGCTGGGGAGCCCATTTTCACTGACAGAGCACTTGGGCCACCACAGGGGCCCCCGACACAACATCAAGCTGGCCACGCCCATCCTGGCCATGCCTATCCTGGCCCCCCAAGGTCAAACACAACCCTGATGTGGCCCTCAATGAAATCAAGTTTGACATCCCTCTTCTAGACCCACAGTCTTAGTTCTACAGTGGCGTTTTAAGTAAAGTTTGGCAGCAGAGGGGAAATAAACATGAGTTTCCATAAGAAAGAATGTAATCTGCTGGATGCAGAGTACTAAGACCAAATTCCTAAGTCTTAAGACTAGAGAGTAAATGTGTGCATTACAATAAAGTGCAAATAGTTTTCCAGGAAAGTTGTTGAATTAGGTGCTCATTCTCCTTTATTGCCTTGTTACAAAATAAACACCTTGTTTATAATGCATATCCTTGTACCAGATGAACAGTGACTACAAAAAGGTGACCTTATGACTCTAGACAGAGATCCAATTACTGTGAAATTACTCCTTATTAGTCTGGATTGTCTTTTATATAACATTTGTTTTTGCAACATTGAAGCCAGTGGAACTGAATCATAAATTGTGGCAAGTTTGCCTTGTCCCACTAGATTTTGTAGCCTCATTACTACACTGATAACTTAAAGATAAGTTTCCATAATGCCATTAGAGGTATGGGGAATCTGCACGAAGAACACAAATGCCCTCTCAGTGCTTGGTTGGATTCAGTTTGGTAGCATCAGTTAATCTGTCTTTTGAAACTAGGGAAATTTTTCTCTGTTACAGAAAGAGGAAAGAAATGGTTTCGGAGCAAAGATAAGATTACTGCTTCAAGTAAATGGCTCATAAAGCACATCCCTATATTAAGAAACTAGTACAGACCTTCATCTGAAACACCACCTCTTAACTACTTTGGTGGAATAACCAAAGTTGCTCTTGTAAAAGTTTTGTAATAGTTTCATATTCATTTCTTCCTCCTCTTAATATTCTGTATTCTTTACAATTTAAGTACAAGTAGTCTTTGTTTAACTACCACAATTGGGACTAGCAACTTGGTTCTTAAGCTAAGTGGTTGCTAAGTGAAACTGACTGTACTTATAACAATAGTAATAGCATTTAGGCTTATCTACTGTTTTACAGTGCTTTTACAGCCCCTCTCTAAGCGGTTTACAGAGTCAGCATATTGCCCCCAACAATTTGGGTCTTCATTTTACCCACCTCGGAAGGATGGAAGGCTGAGTCAACCTCCAGCCTGGTGATATTTGAACTGCCAAATTGCAGGCAGGCGGCAGGCAGCAGAAGTAACCTGCAGTACTGCACTCTAACCATTGGGCCACCGTGGCTCAATTATGACTTTATTTCATCTTTCTTTTGCTTTACAGACCTACAAGGATTGTAAAATTACTTTTTCATCACCGTAGTTAACGGCAAACAGTCACTAAACAAGGTAGTCACTACCTATAGAGGGTAACAGAAATAAATGCTGAATTCGTACACAGGTAGCTCAATTTACCACTATTTGTTTGGTGATCCAAGTTACAATGGCACTGAAAAGAGCGACTTATGACCATTTCTTGCATTTATGACTCGCACACCATCCCCATGGTTATGTGATCATAATTCAGGTGCTGGGCAACGGGCATGTGTTTAGATCAGGGGTGGGCAACTGTGGCCCTTTTACAACCTGTGGACTTCAACTCCCAGAATTCCTGAGCCAGCTTGGTTGTCTCAGGAATTCTGGGAGTTGAAGTCCACATGTTGTAAAAAGGCCACAGTTGCCCACTACTAGTTTAGATGGCTGCAGCATCTTAGGGTCATGTGATCATCATTTGTGACCTTCCCAGCTGGCTTCCAACAAAGTCAATGGGGGAAGCCAGATTCATTTAACATCCACCTTGCTTAGCAATAGTAATTATGGTCTTGACTGTGGTTGTATATTGCAGATTACCTGTAAAGATTGATACCCAAGTTTGAAATAATAAATTAGTATTTCTCCACAGTGAGGACCTTTAGTTTATTAATCCCCACCCTCCTATATTGATACCTATATTGTATGACAGTATGATGTGGCCACTATCAGTAATAACTGTACAACAAACACCAATTTTTAGTCCTTATTGCATGGGATTGTGATTTGTGAGAGGAAAATACTATATCTATTGAGCTATTGGGAAAAGCTATTGAAATGTCTATGTAGGTAAGTCTTTTATCAGCTTGCCTATTACTGAAATGACCCCCAATCAAGAGATTGTGGTGGGGCTTAACCTTTATGCTGCAATTCAGTATGCAGTAAATCAGACTGAGTAGAGCCACTGAAGATTGGATTTTTAGCAATCTACCCTATTTGGTTTCGCTTTCAATCTGCTTGAAACAGGAGAGACAGCTTCTAGGGAGGATCTGCTTCTACTTTTGCTGGCCCATTTTATGTACGTATTGAGACTATAAACCTGGCCATTAAGTAAGACAGGAAGGGGAATCACCCACGCCAGCCACTTCTTAAATTCAGTCCCACCTGTACTTAAGGGGTTCACACAAGGTCATAAAGAGACCTCCTCTATTTCTTTCCAATCCTGGGTCGGCCGGGGCTGAAACAAAACTAGCCCAAAGTCACGCAATACATTTTCTGAGTCCCTCTCCTTAAACCAAATTGATCTTTTCAGGTTTGACATGATAAAGTACTGTACACATCTGACAAGGTAAGGTCCAGGTAAAAAAATAATCGAACAGTAATGCTGAAAGCAATTATTTTTTCCCAGCAGATGTTCCACCAGCATTCCCCCAACCAACAAATGGTTGTCGAGGGCTGACTGCTGAAAAGAATCTCTAAAAGCAGGTCGTAATGAAAGCGGTCAGGAGGGAAAGAGAATTACTTGCCGCATCGCTTCACTTAAGAGCTATTTTTAAAATATATATATATATTGTTTCGATTCTCAACCTCGCCCGGCCCTTCCGGAAACATTGCGGCTCCCGGAAATTTACTGGCGGGAGTTCAAGAGCGATGTTGCTGCAGGCCTGGCCTGCGGCTCAGCTCGCCTCGCCATCTTCCGGGCTGTGAAATTCAACTAGTAGTAATAGTAGCCGGCGAGACCCTCGTGGGAACGCACGTGCTTCTAAACTCTATGGAGGCGCCCACGGAAGCGGCACGTCGTGCAAGGCGCACCATTTTTCCGCCTTTTTACCGCTCAGCTGCTGCAACAAACAGCTGCACTTTACCGCCACCTTTTGACCCTACAGCATTGCAGACCTTCCCCTCCTGTAAAGGTAACGCGCCCTTCCCCGGCGCTCCGCTCCCCTGAGTCTCGAGGCGGGTTTCCTTTCCGCTCAGGCGAGTAGCTGTTTAGCGTTTTCGCCTTCCCATCTGACCTACGACTTAGCTACGCTTTTGCCTCTCAAGGACTTTCCTCAGTTAATTTTGAAGTCGTGGCTGCGGCCGCTTATAGGCTGGTGGAAGCGGACCCGGAGCTGAGATGGCTGCAGCTGTATAAATTATAATAAGAATCGGCTTCGGGGATACGGACCACGTTAGGAATTGGGCAGCTGCAGCATCACGTCGTCGAACCCCCCTCAAAAGTTGCAACCCAGACGGAAGTCCAGCGTTCACTTTCAGTCCTTGGTTTTCTGGCGTTAGGAAAATGGGAGGAGGAGATCAGGAAATAAATTTTTCCATTTAAATACCACTCAGTCTGCAAAGTTCAGTGCTAGAAGAATTATACTGAACATTTGTTGATCCCATTTAGGAACTGCCCCTCTCCTTCACAGAGAGCCTCGTTGGGAGGGTACAAATAAAATGTTACATACGTGAGAACTAAATAAAAAATTAAAATAGAGGCAAAGATAAAGTTTACATTAAAAGTTAATGTAACTTTTAAGTTAAGTTACATTAACTTTAGTTCCTGGCACTAATCAGCCCCACAGCTGCTCCTCTGAGCTCCAAGTGAGATGACAGAACCAGGTTTTTAGATATTTTTGAAAGGCCAGGAAACCCACCTCACCCTTAAGAGAGAATGTTTCAAACAGCTGGAACAATGGCAGAGAAGGCTCTCTTCTTGGACCCTGCTAGTCAGAATAATTTAACATAAGGGGGTCTGCAACATATCTTCCCTTCCTGACCAGATAGGATGCACCAGTGGTAAAATCCAATTTTTTTTACTACCGGTTCTGTGTGTGGCTTGGTGGGCATGGCAGGGGAAGGATACTGCAAAATCTCCATTCCCACCCTACTCCAGGGGAAGGATACTGCAAAATCCTATTGCCTCCCCACTCCAGGGGGAAAATATTGCAAAATCTCCATTCCCATCCCACTCCAGGGGAAGGATCCTGCAAAATCCCCATTCCCTGTCCACTCCTGGGGGGAAGGATATTGCAAAATCTCCATTCCCACCCCATTCTGGAGCCAGCCAGAGGTGGTATTTGCTGATTCTCCAAACTACTCAAAATTTCTGCCACTGGTTCTCCAGAACCTGTCAGAACCTGCTGGATTTCATCCCTGGGATGTGCTGATGTGATGGGATGGACAGTTTTGTAGCTAGCCTGGCCCCGTGCCATGTAGGACTTTACAGGCCATAACCAACATCTTGAATTGGATCCCAAAGCAGATCAATGCAGTTTGCATAGCAGAGGTATTAGACGTGCAGTTCTTTGGGTGCCCAAGATTGCTTGCATGGACACATTTTGTACCTGGATACTTTTCAAGGGCAGCCCCTTGTAGAACACATTGCAGCATATAAGTCTAATAAAATAAAAATAAATAAATAAAATTCCAGACAGAAGACCAGGACACAAGTAACCAAATGGAGAGCGTCCCTATTCAGACCTGTTAAAGATCTGTTAAGAAGTCTTTAACTAGCAACTTTGATTTTTAATAGAGATGGGAAGAAAATAAATAGATATTTAGTGGTAAGTTTCTGGGTGTTTTGCACCACTAGACCATATAGATCAGATGTTTATACATGTTAGTAACTATCCCCTACTCACCATTGGCTGCTGAAAAGAACAAAGCATGATTAAGGAAGAAAAGTGGATACATACTGGGCATGTCCTTTATAGCATCCTGTTTATTTCCAACTGATACCAAAAAAAGTTCCAAAACTTAATCCAATTGAGATTTATATTTTAGAATGAGTGCAATTTTTCTCATTTAACAAGTATCCACTAGGGTAATTCTTAACTTTTAAACACTGGCTTTTGCAGTTGTACAATCTAAGGAAATTAATAAATTCAAGATTAGAAATTTCTAATTAATTAGAAATTAATTAACATTCTGACTTTATCTTAAGTATGTTCATTTAGAATTAATTTAGAGAATATAAAGTTAGAAAATAAATAAGCAGGATATAGGGTACCTAACCGATGAGATTTTTCTGTTATCTGTATATTTATCTCTCTGCCAGTTTCAGTTTCTGTCAGTTTCAGTTTTTGCAAATAACAAAATATCCACATATCGGAATCTTTCTCCTGGAGTATTTTAGAGTTCTTTAAAAATAAAAAAGGAGTTCAACGTTTATTGGAAATGTTCACATTCATGTTTTTGCTAGAAAATATAAGCCCATCACACACCCTAAAGAGGCATCTGGAAAGACAAGAAAGAAAACATATATTCCATGGAAATTTCCCCATAATACAAAATGATTGCTAAATTGTTGGGTGCTTTTATTTTGTTTAGTTCTTCAAAGAATTCTTCAGCTTTCATAAAGCTTTCAATAACATCTAAAATGGGATGTTTTTCATTGAAGCCTTTGGGGGGGGGAATCACTGTTATGCCCACTTAGATGGGCATAACAGTGATTCCTTTAATAATCTGAGAGAATTTTAAATCCTTTTTAAAGTTCTCTCAGATTATTCAGATTATCTTGTTTACTAATTTTCATTGAAGAATATATTTTCATTAACTGTATAACAGAATCTTAAACATGATAGTAAAAGCTCATTACATAGAAGTACTTTTGACGGTAAGATTGAACTTGCGAGACAGATTCACATGTACACCTTATCTCCATCATAAATGCATGTCAGTTGCCAAGCATCTGAATTTTGATCACATAACTACAGGGATGCTGCAGCTGTCATAAATGTGAAAAAAGGTCATAAGTCCCTTTTTTCGGTTGTAACTTTGAACAATGACTAAATGAATGGCTATAAGTCAAGGGCTACCTGTACTATGCTTCCTCACAAAATGAACAGAAGGCATAGAAGGACATACATTTTGCTATAACCTGTCCACTGATCCTTGCTTGGCTTGGTGCTCAAATAAATGCAGTAGCTGAGTATACGTAGTTCTCGACTTACAACCATTTGCTTAGTGACCAAAGTTACAGTGGCACTGAAAAAAGTGATGATCGGTTCTTGCAGTAATGACTGTTGCAACATCCCCACAGTCACATAATCATAATTTGGACACTTCACAATCGGCATGTATTCACAACGATTGCAGCATGCTGGGGTCCTGTGGTTGGCCATTGACCTCCCAGCTGGCTTCTGACAAGCAACGTCAACAGAGAAAGCCAGATTTGCTTAACAACCACATGATTCACTTAACTGTGATGATTTACCAACCGTGGCAAAAAAAAAAAGGTCCTAAAATTCGGCGTGATTCACTTTACTGCCTTACTTAACAATAGAAATCCTGGTGGGTTGTGGTTGTAAATTGAGGGCAGCTTGTACCAGAACCATCCTGTTTAACATAAGCCAAATACTGCATGCATAAGACTGTGCCTGCTAGAATATATGGTCAGAATAGTTGCTGTTCTGCTCATCTGATCAAGAATTCTTTCCAGAAATACTATCATTGTGGGACAGTCAGGCAATAAAAAGCAGGTACTGCTGCTATCAGTGCTGAGAGCTAATAGGCGAGGAGAAAGGCCCAGGCCCAGGGTAACTGCTGCTGGTTACCAACTACCTCATGCTACCTTGAGAAAGAAAGTGCACATAATTATAACAGGGAAGTAGGTAAGACTATTAATATTCTGTTGGTGATAAATGTGGTCACATGGCATCAAAGAGCCCAAGAACCTTATTTGAAGTTCCATGAAGGTTGAACGCTTTGTTCCCTGATAGTCATTGTTCCAAACACTAATGTGGGTTTTTTCATATGACCATGGATCCGTGATGCCTTAGCAACCGTTATGCATGGAGCATGAATGAGCAATGACGTTTTCAACTGTCCCCCCCTTCCTCCGCATTTCTCCCCAGGCGTGTTTTAATGTCCTTCTTCTAAAATGTTCTGCTGCTTCTGGTACATTTCAAAAACAAACTCAACATTAGTATAAAGCACTTCACCGCTTTATGCTTACATAAGATGATGCCTTGAGAATTTATAGAGTAAGGCAAAGTCCGTCTTTATTTCTCAGTTTTTGTGGAAGATCTTGATTTTTCTCAGTCTGTGAACTTTATCTCTGTTACATAAGGAAGGAAAGATAATTGGAATATGATTGGAGGTATCGATTTAAAGGGCCAGGGGGCCAGAGAAATAGGTTTGCAACGCAGGTACAAAAACTCTTGATACACACCACACAAATCAGGCATAGCAAATTTTCTAGGGCTATCTGAATCTCTATTTGGGCATTGGCTCCTAAGTATTTGGAAGAGAGGAGATAGAAACCTTTCCAGCTGAACAGAACACATAGTCAAGGCAAAAGCTATTGGCTGGGAAGGAACCGTTACATTCTCTCTTTAAACCTTAACAGTCACTGACTTCTAGAAAAATCCAACCCTGCCAAGACTGAGCATCAGTGTTCCAACTGTAACAGTCCGTGGGTTGCTCTTCTGTCAAGCCTAGGTGGGCCTCAGTTTTTCCCCAAAGATTTCCTCACAGTGACATCACCCTTGTTCCACAGTTTGGATCCTCTGCATTATTTTATCTTGTTATCTATGGTTCCCATCAGGGCGATATCTTACCGTTTTTAAATATGAGCAAACAAAACAATACAAGGGAGAAAATTGGCCACTGATGCAACATAGTAAATTTTGTTATTTTTCAAATTTTGGTTTCCAAATGGCACAAATCTTGCTGAATCCGTTGCCAAGGGCTATTTTTTTCTCCTTCATGTGTTCCTGTCTTTGTGCATTATCTTGAAGATAGTGAATTACAATTTCCTGAGAGAGCAAAGTTTAAGTAAACTAGTGTTTACCACTTTAAAAATAAAACACTATTATACATATCTTTGCCAAATCGAACTTTACTTTCATCCAAAGTCTTATTAGGAACTTTAATTCAGTCACATAATTAGCAATAGTATTACAGGCAGTCCTTGACTTACGACTACAATTGAGCGCAAAATTTCTGTTGCTAAGTGAGACATTTGTTAAATGAGTTTTGGCCCGTTATATTATCTTTCTTGCCACAAGAGTTAAGTGAATCCCTGCAGTTGTTAAGTTAATAACAGGGTTGTTAAGTGAATCTGGCTTACCCACTGACTTTGCTTGTCAGGTGATCACATGATCCCGGGACATTGCAACTGTCAAATGAATCAGTTGCCAATAATTTGAACTTTGATCACATGACCATGGGGTTGCTACAATGGTTGTGTGAAAAATGGTTATAAGTCACTTTTTTTCAGGTTCGCTGAAACTTCAAAAGGTCACTAAACAAACAGTTGTAAGTCAAATACTACTTCTACTTGAATTTGCCATCCACTGTTCCCCAGAAGCTTGTTGTCTTCTTATCTTTCAATATGAACCATGTTCATATTGTCCTAACTGTGGGTGTGTGGTTTGCAGAATGCTAGAGTGCCTCACCTGTTGGATGCTCTACAGTAGCCTAAAACTACATTTATACATCACACTTTAATTTCATGTGTATTATAATCCACTTTGCAAATCCTGTCTAGAGTTAATTCTGATTGTGATTAGTTTGAGTTGTTATTGTTGTTTGATCACAGAGTCAACAAAATGTTTAAACATGCTTTATGTTTAATTTTGGCAGATGTTTTGGCATTTTTATCTACCTATTGAGTACTTCCTAAGAACTACAACCTAGAATAGGTTTGATGGTGTTAAAGGTTATCATCAGGATGTAAGCTGTTCCAAGTAAAGCTCCCTTTTGCAATTGATTGATGGTGATTTTGTCAATGTTGATGGTATTCAAGTGGCAGGTGTTTTGAGATAGTACCTAAGGCACCTATTACTGTTGGTATTATCTGTGTTTCATTTGCCAGTTATTCTACATACCGTATGTTTTCAGGTCTTTGCATTTTATTATTTTCTCTACTACTTTCACTTTTATTTTGCTGTCTCCAGATACTGCAATGTCTACTCACCAGATTTTTTTCTTTCTTACCAAAAGTTAAGTCTGGGGTGTTATATGACAGATGCTTGTCTGTTTGAATTCTGAAGTCAGAGAGCATTTTAGCTTCTTCCTTTTCTATTACTTTGACCTCACCAGTTCTTGCTTACAGGCAAATGGTATTTCTGGTAGTTATTCTAATGCACCACTATTGCTACTTTGCCATGCTGTTTTTATAGTCAGTCTGTGCAATCTTCTTGCAGCAGCTAACTAGGTGGTCCATTGTTTCTTAAGCTTCTTTGCATAAGCAGTATTTGCTGTCTTGCTATATCTCAATTCTGGTTTTGTATTCATGTGTTCTTAAGGCTTGGCCTACTGCAACCAGAATTAGTTCTTCTGTCACTTTCTTCAATTTTCCTGCTCTTAGCCATTGCCAGATCTATCTGCCTTGCCTATTTTTTTTAATGTACTGGTCATGTAATATTTTGCCTTGGCATATCTTTTTTCTAGTCTTCATTTGGTTAGCCATTCTTATAGGTCAGTTTGATCTCTCCAGTACCCAGTAAGCCTTCATGGTATACTAGCTGTAGTGCATCTTTTTCTCTGTTCTTCAGATATTTTTCCAATGTCCTTTTTTCTTCTTCAGTTGGCTGGTGTACACATTTTTTTTTCTTTTTACAACCCTGTAATCCCTTGATTTGGGGTGGAGTCAACTGAATGGAGCTGAGCATTTACTGGCTGGATGACCTTCCTGACACCTATGCGGAATTCACAGCAGCTATTTTCTCTTTGTGCCCTGATAGAAAAACATCTCTCACTACCTTAGGATTGAACTCTCAATCTTCCAAGTAAAAGGCGAGAGTCTTCACCTCTAGGCCACTGCGTTACTCATCTGGATTACACATATATTTTAAAAAATTTGTCTAATAATAATTTGCATCACTTACTTTAAACCATTTGTACCCACATACTCTTTAAGGAATTTGCAATGTCAGGACTCTCCCAATTTTATTCACACATTGTGTGATAGACTACATTGAATTACAGGTGTCAATGGTCATTCAGTGAACCTCAAACTCATGATCATAATACTGATCAATATACTTCAGTAACAAAAGGGCATGGGAAGGTAAAGTGGTTATTTTGAGATTTCCATTTTTATTTGGTAGCACTCTGGAGATATTTAAGCTGTCGATGTTTAGTTCCCTATCTTTTTCTTGGCAGATTGCCTGAAGCAGGTCATTGAGGATGGCCAGTAAGCAAGGGTACAGTTGTCTCTCAGATGGCTCTCTGGATATTCCAATATCTAGCCCTGAAGGCACCCCGAGTCTCAGTCCTCATAGTCCAGGACTGTGTCTTATATCTCCTCCAATTGCAGAATCTCACTGGCTGAGCAATGCTCAACCACAGCCTGACACTCCATCAGAAATGAACATCACTTTAGAAAAGTTGCTTGCTCCAATAACTGAAAAATTGAAATATTTGCTGAAGAAAGCAGAGGACTTCCAGACTTACCTTCTATACAGGTGGGTTAAGATATGGAAATATTAGCAACCTTTTGACAGCACGATGCTGAAACTTGACTTTAATTATTTTAACATGGCCAAGGGTAATATAATATCTAAAGCAACAGTGCCCAGCACATGTCAGCAGCAGCCAACCTTGGCTGATTTCAAAAATCTTAATGGGATTGTATAATACCTAGATAAAAGCCACCAGGAAATTCCACAGCTGTACAATTCTAGCAACTGAAAAGTTAAAATCAACATGACTGCAAAAGTACTTTCACCTTACCGGTATTACCAAAGTGAACTATATGAACGTGACCATTAGGAGTTGAGCTCAACTTCAATGAGTTTTGAAGATACGTACAGGGGGATAATTAAATAAATTATTAAAAATTTCTGACACCCAAATGTTAAAACAACAAAAATAAAATAGCTTTTTATTCCTCTATCAAAAATTAAAGCTTAATAGAACCATTTTGAGATGTGAAGGATTCCAATTCAGACTTCTGGGCTCGAATCTTTCTATTGTAAAAGTGTGCATTTTGTCTCAAGCTTCAGGTGGTTGATCTTGGAATTTGGATAACGAATAAAATAGATCTCACAAAGTGAAATCTGGCTATGAAATGCTAAGGTTTCTATGGGCCTTTCACAATCAATAACAAGCAACCCAATAGAAAATCTGACAGATGCAAAGGCAAAAGACAAATGGAAACGAGCCAATCCACCCCAAAGAGGGAGCTAAAAGTTTGATATGCAAGACTGGTACAGGTGCTTTTGAATGATTACTAGTTGGATTTTTGCTTCGTTTCCCTCTATATCTTTCTCTTATTTACTATAGGTCTTATTTCTTGGCCAATACTTCTGTATTACTATTGCCATATCTATTTCCCCCATTAAGTTATTTCTATTCCAGTATTCTTAGTTCTACAGCTACACTTCTACCATATTACTTTGCACTTCTGTACAATATCAATCTTCTATTTCTATATCTCCATAGTACTACACAACTATATCCACCTGTTGATGTAGTTCATATTTCTCTATTGCACTGCAATATTTTGGTTGTTCTTTTCAAGAGAGCTGCTGCTGTATTGGCAATAGTGCTGTCCTTCGAAGGAGTGGAAGGAAGGAGCACAATTGCTTTCAATCTGCCCAGCAGCTCTTCCTCTTGCAGACAGGAAGGAGAAATGCAATAAGTCCTGAATGTTTTTTCTTTGTGTAGAGCTTGTTTCTGAAACAGCAATTTCTGACATTGTTTGAACATGGTTCATTTGCTAACTTCAGTAAATATGACTGATCAGAAGATCTTGGACTTCTTGTGAGCTTGTTCAGTATGCATTTCTTCCTCCATGATGTTTCTTTAATTTAATCCCCAGTTTATAATATAAGGATAAATCATCCTTTGCTGTAAACCAGTTTTGCACTTACTCCAACACTATCCAAGGGTAGCCTCAAGACGCTTAAATTTCTGTCACCCATTAACTTGGAGGAGATCAGGTCACAAACAGCAACAGTGAACCCAGGTAATAAAGGCAAGATACAGATTGGCAATGAAGGTAGCAAATTTCTTGCTGGTATACAGGGGCATCCATGGGGGTAGGTAAAAAAAAAATCAAGATGGTGATGCAACCATGTAATCTAAGTCCTGTCTCTTTCTTATGTATCTGTCTCATATATTTTATAAAGGACTGGCTGACTCTAGTGACACTATTGTGACGGCTAACATAACTGTTTTGATAATCCCCTTCCCCCAACATGACAGCTGGTGTAGTCATGGACATTAAAAAGTACTTTAGCTCAACATAGGGAAAGGGCCTTTGTCTTCAAAATTAATTAAGAAAATTAATTAAGAAAATTAATTAAGAAAAAATATCTGTATCTACCTTATGCCTGCTTTAGGTTAATCTGGTTGAAACTCAGATCTAACTCTGCTTTGTGTTTGGGCCTCTGTCATGATTTGAATGTTTGGATTCTGATTGGTAATACAGAAGGGAACCCTTAATAATGCAACGTCATGCATTAGTTTTTACTTTGTCCCAGAGTTTTCTTTATTTTTAGACCCCTTCCTCAGAATAGGATAAATCATGAATTGAACATGGTAAACTCTGTTTTTCTAAACATCTTAAATTATTATTGTTATAGTTATGGTTTGTTTCAAAGAGCAATATCAAAAAGGGCTGGAAGGCATTGAACAAGATAAGGCAGGAATTTAGATATGAAAGAGAATTTCTGTATTGTTTTTCCTATTAGGATAGCCTGTAAGGCATTGCACTCCTTGCTGATTCCTTGCTGATGCCAGTAGGCATCCTGGTGCCCAAAGGCAGCAATATGCATAGATTCTTCTACCAAGCTCTTTGCCATACCTCAGTTAAAAAGAGGAATCTTCCACATTTTAAACCCAGCCTGGAATTGTTGCTATGGTATTCCCTAAGGGCAGCATATATATGCCCCAAGTGTGTGTGTGTGTGTGTGTGTGTGTGTATGCGTGCAGTAGCACTAGCAGATGTGTCACAGAATAGTGCTGAGCAGGGGCTCTCCTTGACGTAGTGCTCTCCTATTTTCAGCAGAGACAGAATGCAGAAGGAACAGTTTGCCAAAGCCATGCCCACCTTTTTGCAGATGTGCCAGCCATATTTCCACTATTTGGAATCAACAGCACGCAGCTGCACACCTTATTTAAGACCTCCACAGGAGCCAGTCCGGAAAAGAGTGAGTGTTTCCACTGGTCCTATTCCATCCAGTTAGATTGGGGGTGGTGGAGCAAAGAGAACTACTCTGTTTGCATCTTCATGGAACTAACTCGAGAATGACAAGAGAGGAGGAGAAATAGGTTCCAGAATAGAAAAACTCTTCAAAGTTTTCTTTGAAATTTCTTTCTAAAGAAATTCTTATTTCTTTAGCTTGTGGAGGGTAATTGAGATTCATTCCAGACATTTTAGTTATACTGTGGCTATAATCAGATGCTTCTTGTGTGCAGGACCAAAATTACAATGTCATTTCAACTCTTATCTATCAAAGTATTTATCATTTTTATCATTGTTCTACATTTGACTTTCACAAAAATATCTCTTACAAGTAAAACAGACACAATCTCTATCTTAAGGAAACTATATAAATATATTAGAAGGGAACATTTTGAGATAAATTGGATAAAACAAAGAAAGTGACACTAAACCGAGTAGGTGGATGTAACAGGATAGTTGATAAACCTAATGTGTCACTTCTTCCCCAGTTTCCAATATTTCGAAAGTTATTTCACGGATACCTGCAATCATGTTCATATCTCCCAACCTCCAAGTGCTGAAAATGTGCAGAGATTACCATTTAGTGCTCTTTTCAGCCAATCAGTAGGCAAGTATAAAGAGCATTGTTCAATAAATGCCCTATCCCTTACATCGCTATGGGCCTTGGACTAACAAGAATCCTGCCCTATCCACTGCAACTGAAAAAGGAAATAATTTGCTACCAACCCTCCCCAAATCCATGTTTACTATGAGGGAAAGCAGTATTTAAGGAAGGTGATTTGTAAATATCCACATACACGTACACATCAAATAATTCTTTTTTACATTTGACAAAAGTCTCCAAAGATGGAATGATAGCAAATGTATATGGGGAATACAGGAAAGGGTAAATCTCAAGTTCCCACTGACTATTCAGAGCTGCAGCTTTTCTTTGAGTTTCTAAACAGAAAACAAAAACAAACCTATAGTGGAGCAGGGGTGGGACTTCTCTCTCAAAACCAAACAATACTGTTCAATGGTACAAATTTGGAGCTGGTTCTGAATCAGCTCAAACATTCTGTGTGAAAATGCTCTAGGTTAGATGGAGAAGGTTACACGTGTCTCTCAGTATGGGGGTGTTAGATTCCCAAATCTATAAAAGGACGATATACTCAGATGACCACAGAATAACATTCCCACAAAATGCACTGATTGTTTGCTCTTAGTTATTATTCAGCATATAGCCTAATATTTAGGTGTCCTCCTTCATCATTTTCTTGATGCAGGAAGTCTACAGTTTCCTCTGAAACCTGCTATATTTCTCACATCATTCTAATAACTCAGGGTTTTGCAATGCTTCAGTTGTCCTTAAAGCTGATCTTTCTGTCTTTTCTTTTCTAGAGGAGTATTTTCTTACCATTTCTTCATCCCTCCCATTGTTGTTTTTCCCCCATGCCCCAGCAAGCCTTCCTCTTATCATTTCTGGGCTGCAGGGAGTCTACAGTATGGAAAGACTTGCAAAGGGTGCTTCCTTATTCAAAGTACTGCTAGACAATGCCTATCTAGGTTCCCTGCTTCTTCCCTTTCAGAGGACAACTTTGAAATACTTGGCCAGGTTCTTGAGCAGCAAAAGAGAGAGAGAGAGAGAGAGAGAGAGAGAGAGAGAGAGAGAGAGAGAGAGAGAGAGAGAGAGAGAGAGAGAGAGAGAAAGAAAGAAAGAAGAAAGAAAGAAGAAAAAGGAAAGGAAGGAAGGAAGGAGGAAGAAAGAAAGAAAGAAAGAAAGAAAGAAAGAAAGAAAGAAAGAAAGAAAGAAAGAAAGAAAGAAACCACTATAAAGGATTATCATCCTTTCTGAAAGAGAGGTGAAAGAGGAGTTTGGATTTACAAACCCCAAACCATGGCACGTGTTTCCTATCATTTTTTTAAAAAAAATATTTTATGGAAAAGACAGTGCCATGTCAAGATAACAATGCAAATAATACAAAAAAAAATGGAAAATAAAAGAAAACTTCAACTAAATTTCTACTTACATTAGCTTATTTACAAATTTTTCCATATTATATCCATAATTTTATACATCTTTATTGTCCACACTTACCATGGCACATTCAGATAAGTAAGTTTCCTGTCATTTTTTTTTAATAGGAAATGCTCCAGGTTTCTCCACCTACAGCTGGACACAGAATTTAGCAACATGCCTATAGGATGACAAGAGTAGACATCCCTATACTAATCCAATGTCATTTGTTCCTCTATAAGCAGTAGGATGCTGCAAAAAATAGGCTTTTATTCACAGACTGGGTATTTGGATCATGATATCCTCCACTTGTAACCTGCCTCCTTTCTCCCACCACTTTTTTTTTCCACTACAAAATTAATGGTTGGGAACATAAGACAGAACAACTGCACAATGTCTTTTTGTTGGAAAGCTGTCCACTCTCACAATACTCAGATCTTACCACCTAATTCAAGGTAAGCAATGTAAGCTCTGTGGCAGAACAGAAAAAGGAGGAGATACATTTCTTCCTCACTCCCCCCCCCCTTTTTTTGTCAGTAGTGAACTGATTGTTGGTTGAAAGCTGTGCTTTTTCCTCTTGCTGAGAGGGAAGGAGGCAGTAAGAAATAACCCAGCCTTAGTGTTTCTCTTAGATTTCACATATGAGGAATTTGGCTGTAACACCACCACCATCCCCATGAGCCTCAAACCACATTTTAGCTAATGGAAGAACAGAACTGAGTTAGCAGAGCAAATATAGGGGAATAGCCTGGTCTCCAGGATTTGCCTGACATTGTTCAAGACCTTAGTTTTTAGCTTCCAATCTCAAAACATTTGTTCTTCCATTTGCCACAGCTTCTGGAAATTTCTCAGCAATTGGCTTGCCAGCTTGAGCAACTGGTGCTGATGTACGCTTCCTTCAGCTTTGTTTCTCTTGAAGACACAGACCCATTCAGGTACAAAGCACTAATTAGGGAAAGGTTAGCTTTATGTACTTAGTGTGATTTATTTATTTATTTCAATTTGTATTACTGTCCATTTCACTTATGTGATTCTGGGCAGCATAGAAGTCAAAACAGCAACAACAAACATTCATATAAATAAAAATTAAAACAAATAAAAACTTTAAAACAAATTAGCCAATGCAAGATGATGCAAGGTTAGACAAAAATGTTTCAGAAGTGATCTTTGCTAATCATTCAAATGTGTAGAATTGGAGAAAATATTCTTCCAAATAAAGCCAAGATTCGGCACATGCCACAAAGCACACATTTATGGTGTATTTTTGCTCTCAAGTACTCCTAGACCTAGACTGTTAACAGACAGAAAATTGAGTAGCTTTTTAAAGTTCGCCTAAAGAGCCTTTAAAAAATGTCTAAATCTAGGATGATCCTATCCCATTTTCAGGAATACTGAAAGGAAGTCTAAGGTTTCATTCTGTTTTGATAACTTAGGTTCACATTGATAATTTTTCTTCAAAAGTTACTGATATATTTATTTTTGTGCAAGCAAGAGGAAATTGCTCTTGGTTTCGAATCTGCCCTGTTGTCTCAACTTTCTTCTTACTTGCATGCACAAACGTATCTGTCACTCTGTATTTGTCTCAAAATCTCCACCAGTGTATCATGTTTCTTCTGTGGGAAATTTTGGATGAATGAGACTCGGCAAGTTTCCATCTTTCGATACTGCATCTCAGCACCATACACAGCTGCTCATATTCCCCACAATCTTTATAAGAAGATGCGCTGGAATCTGGACATCTTGGAGGGGTCTGCTGCTCGGAATCAAACACTCCGGACAGAATAGTGAGTTGCTGGATATACTGAGGATATTTATTTTATTTTATTTATTAAATTTATATGCTACCCATCTCACTGATAGGGCCACTTTGGGTGGCTTGCAAACAGTAAAAAGATAAATATATAAGCAATTAAAGTTTTAAAAAGCTATATAAAAAGCTAGAACCAAGAAGATGGACAGCCAGGGATGAGATCTTCATCTTACCCCATCACCTATCTCCAGTGGCCCCAAGCCAACTGGCAAAACCAGGTTTTGATCCCCTTCTGGAAGGCTTAAAGGGTGGGAGCAGTTCTTGCCTCCAATGGTAGAATGTGGGGGTCACAGCAGAAAAGGCTCTTCTTGAGCCCACCAGCTGGGATTCTTTAGCAGGTGGGTGTCAGCAATAGGCTCCTTCTGCTGGAGTGAATAGGGTAGGCAAGTCCCATTGGGGCAAGGTAGCTCCTCAGATACCCTGGACCCATGCTTTAAAGGTAAAAACTAATACTTTGAATTGGGCCCAGAAGCAAACTGCAGCTGATGCAACAGTGGTATTATAGGTGCCACCCTAGGGCCCCCAGAGCTATCTGCACTGCTGCATTCCAGACTAGCTGTAGCTTCCAAATAGTCTTTAAGGGTAGCCTATGTGGAATGCTTTACAGCAATCTAACCGAGAGTGGCCAAGGCATGAGTGACTTGCACAGGGCCTCATAATCCAGATAAAGGTGTGACTGATGCATAATATGAAGTTGTGCAAGGGTCCTTCTAGCCACGACTGCTCTTTGAGCAGAAGTCATGAGTCTAGGACTATACCCAGATTGTATACCAGGTCTATCTGGGAGAATGCAATCCTACTCAAAACTAACAATGATAAATAACCAGATCCCAAGGGTTCTTAAACCCATAGCACTCCATCTTACCAGAGTTCAGTTGTATAGCCTGTTGTCCCTCGTTCAGACTCCCACAGCCCCCATGTACTGCAAAAGGGAAGCCATAGCATCACTTGGATAATTGGGAATGGAGATGCAGAGCTGAGTTATCATCTGCCTACTGATATCCCATAATTTTGGATGATCTCATCCAGCAGTGAGATATATGGGGAGAGTGGATGTGACCTGGCTAGACAGATCATTTAACAACACATCTCCCTTTCCATACTTCTGGTGACGAAAGAATGGTGTCATTTGAAAGCTACTCCATGTTATATCAATGTAATTCTTTCTTTGTCTTAACTAATGTTTATTTCTTGAGTTTGCCAGAGGCTGTTTGATCAGCCAATCACTTCACTGCTTCCATGCAATCTTTGTGTTGTAGCTACTTCCTATGCTTCCGTGATACAGGAGATGAAACAACTGTGAAAATGCAGAAGCTTTGGTCCATAGGACGCTGGGTGCCTATAGATCCTGACAATGAACACAGTTCTGATGTGCTATCCTGGTAGGTGTGCAGAACTAAACATAGATCATTGACGTAACACTTATACAGACTGACTTAATGTAATGGTGTAATGGTTAAGGCATCAGGCTAGAAACTGGGACACTGTGAATTCTAGTCCCACTTTGAGCAACTGGATGATCTGGGTCAGTCACTTTCTCTAGCCCTAGGAAGGAAGCAATGGCAAATTATTTCTGGAAAACCTTGCCAAGAAAACTGCAGGAACTTGTCCAGGCAATCTCCAAAAATCTGACCTGATTAAATGGAAGGAAAAAAGGCAAATAGTTTCTCAGTTGAAACTGTGGTTGAATTTGTTCGTGTGTTGTGAGATTAAGGAATTTTTATCATGCCTTCTGACTGCTAGTTGATGTTCATGGATGTGCTCTGCTAATCTGCCAGTATGTCCTACATAGTGGCTGTTACAGTCCTTACATTGTATGTTGTAGATGACTCCTGTTTTCATAAATTATGCTGCAACAGGTTGTCTGATCAGGGACTTTTTGACAAAATTGCCTGAGTCTTCAGTCTGTTAGAAGATGTTGTCTAGGTGATCTGCCTCCTCTTACTGGCATACTGGGTAGCTGCAGTGTGTTTATACTTATCTAAATAATATTCTTATACAACTTCTCTTGAGATAATTGCTTTGGGTTGTTGCTTTGGTAGAAGAATAGTTGGTTATTATTGGTAGTGTTTCAAAAGACTTTGTTAGACCTGCCCCAACATAGACATTTAGGAAAGAAAGACCCTGGACTTCATTTGATTGAAGTGATAAGTTCTTTTACTAGAGTTAAGTGGTTACAGCAAAAGTAAAACTAGATCTAAATATTCCCACAAAAAGGCTACACCTTTTCCCCTTTCCATGGCCCTCCCCCCCCTTGACCAGTCCATCAGTGTCCAATAAGATGCCTTTATGATGTTTTGGGAATGGCTTGGAGCTTGGTGCCTCTCTGTGTACTTTCACATTCGCTTCCCAGGCCAGGTGTCCTTAGAGGATGGTTTAATCCGGTTTGGCACCTCTGGTTTTTGTCAATGTGTCTCCCCTCCTGCTTCTCCTTCCCAGCACATATTTTACTATCCCAAATTCCTTCCCACTCCCTTGCAATTTATGGCAGGATGCCAGCAAAGCTAAGAAGCTGGAGATGGTAGGCCTGACAGACTTAGGTTTCTAATTTGCCATCATTTTCTATGCTGATGAGGACAGCCAGGAAGGGTAATGTGTTATTATTTTCTTCTTCTCTTGTGAATTTTATTCCTTTGAATGTGTTGTTAATTGTCTCACGTAGCTTCTCCAATTGTTCATTTCTTATTAAGATGAAAGTTTTATCTAGATAACAGATCCATAATTTTGTTGTGTATCTCTATGTATATTATACACTTGCTCTGTCTTAGGTTGAATTATTTTGTTCTTTAATCTAGCATTGTTTTCTTTTGAATATCAGTGTTCATCACAATGATGGGAAGAGATCCTATCAACTTGGGAAGGTTGGTTCAGCTGGGATTGAATTAAAGGCGTTCTGCATGTAGTTCATACCCTATGACAATAATGGAGTTTGGTGGTCCAAACTCCATTATGGTCATAATTTGTGACTATCATAAAGTTAGCCATCCATGTGACTAACCTGATTTTAGAACACTTTTTGCAGTGGTTATTAGTGAATGCTGTAGTTGTTAAGTAAACCAGTTGTTCGCTATGGATGAGTTTTTGTTGAAAACCAGAAGTAAATGCTGGTTTTCGGCAACCACTTCATAAAACACAGTCATATGACTATGGGACACTGCAAATGGCCATAAATGTGCTCAGGTTGCCAAGTGCTGGAAATGTGGTTACATAAATGTGTATTCGGGTGGCCATTAGGTTGTAAGTATCTCAAGGGAGATCCAGCATAACTTCAAATGGTCACTGATTGACCAGTTGTAAGTTGAAGACTACCTATATGAACAATGACCTCTTCTTTTGCAGAGATATCCAAAGACTGCTATGCATTTGCACTGAAATAATTGAGGTCCTAATCATTGACGGAAAACTAAAGTTTTGTATCCTCTAAAGTAATTGTGATGCTGCAGCATCATCACTTCTATCACTAATTTAATTCACATAGAATTTTCCTTAGGTATTCAAATACATTATTTCCAATCTCCAATAATTTTCTTAAAGGATAAATTTGATAAAACTACATAATACTGTACACTAGTCACTCATGTATTCGTGAACCACGCTTGAAAGTAGAATAGACAGACCATCATTCCATCATTGGAATGCTCCATCATTGCTACTTGCCCTTGGTAGCTATGTTCCTACCAAGATTATGTTCAGAAACAGTATTTAACTGTATATTTATTACTGCTTCCAAATTTGTTAAAGGAACACACATATATATTCACCTGTGATTTATACGTATTAAAATGATACTTGAAACAGTTTGCATTATCTTTGGCATCAATAAACATTCTAATGGGAAATTATGAATAAGAATTCCACACTGGAAATTTAGAGTATTGCACATCACAACACTATTGCAATTTTATCTAAAACAGTTTCCTATTTATATAATGTGGGATGTAGTTGAAGTGCGTGGGATAAAATTGATTCTGTGTATGAGTGTGTGCTGTAACTTCCCACTCATTTTTATTGTGGTAAAAACAAATGTAGATGATGCCATCTGCTTGATTCAATATTATGATTGAATTCAATACTGGGACTGGTGACTAATAGTCAACAATAAGCCCTTTCTGAAAAATATATACAAAGAAGCACTTCTGAAGATTCAAACGCAAAATGTAAAAAGAAAAATACTGACTATATACCTATCTCTGGGAAAAGATAGTTTTATAATAGATACCTGATGCTTCCAGACAACACTTTTATTCTATAGATATTCTGTTGCCTCCAAAATGATGGTAATCTTCCAAGTGTAAACCGCCCATGCTTTCTATCTTATTTTTCCATTATTATTCCACTTACTTAAAAATAAAAAAAAACGGGAATATTGTGTTAGTACAACTGTCAAGAACAGCCAGCCATCTGAAAATACTGATATGGAAGAAATTCACACATTCGTTTCAGTTCATTTGCCCTATGTCTCTTGCTTTTCCAATTTCTTTGAATTTTGAGGCATCGTGTTTTAAACATAAATACAAAAATAAGACAGTCTGCTCATCCAAAATATCTTGTATTAGAAAAAAAATGAGAAAATAGAACAGAACAAATGTATGCTTGAAAATACAATGTAAACTGATTTTCATCTGAATATATTCACCTTTTGAGAAGACAAATATGCAACATAACTTAGTGCCAGATAATACATTTATGCAAGTATACTTGCCATGTACTTCTAAAGCATTCTACAGGAATGCCCTAAGAATGCCTAATTATTAAACAAAGGAACATGATCTCCAGAGCACTTACCTGGGTAGGATAGAGGCTATAATGATCATCTCTGACTTCTCCCTTTTTCTTCACACAGGGTGTTGTGTCACCAACCCACAGGTGATTACCAGCAGCTCCTAACAATTGGATTTGAGGAACCTTCTCACACCTTAGCTACAGACCTCTTAGTGCAGATGCTAAATGCTCAGAGTTCTGGTCTTCTTAATCGTGAATCATCCTGCTGGATGGGCCCAGGAGAACAGGTGCAGTAAAATGTACATCACTTTCGTGTATACCACAATGTGTAATTCATGTATACGCTTGCTGCACAACATCACCAGGACTGCACCATCAGCATCACCAATAGCACATTATCAAGAGCACTATTCCAGATGCCAGTGTTTTGACACCACAGTCAAAAGAGTGTAAGTGGTTTGTATTACAAGTATGAAAATTTTAGATTTTGGCAACTTTGACATAGAAAAAAAGCATTACTTTTATTTCACATCCCATTTTAATTGTCTTAGATATATTTCTGAAACTGTCTAGGAAAGATTTGAGAGAATTTGTTTTAATTTATAATAGTTTCTTTAATATAGCAACTCATACCATTTCCAATGTATTTTGAGGCTATTCCTACATACTATTTGAGGCTATTCCTACATACTATTCAAGGCTTGTTAAGAACTGATATATAATATATCTGGGAGATCAGGCTGTGGAAAGGTATACTTCAGTTTCAGTTCTAATTATTTATTTATTGACTCATTTTCCAATGTTTAAGATAACACACAAATAACAAAACTGAAACATCTAAAGATAAAATTTTAAAATCCCACTTAAAAACAACATAACACGAGCTATTAAATTTAGTAAACAAATGAAGCAGTAAGATTGGCAGTACATAAGTTTGGTCTTCTATTAGACAAAACATTTGACTGGCCATGAAAAGCTTTCCTATCCTGTGTGACATTACTTCTTGCATTAATGGGATTGTGAATGGGATATCTTGACTATTTTGAAATTGTGACAAGCTGTATATTTCCATGGGTTCACTATGGTAATTATTCTAAATGTTACAGTGCTAAATATGCTACATTTCACTTTTTTTAAAAAAATCACCTTGTTCAAGAACAAATAATTTAGTTTAGAAAAAAAAATAAAACAATGCAAGGAAATAAAAGGAATGTTCAGCAGTTATTTTTTTTTTTTAAAAAAGCAGATGCTAACACCATGTATTTTGGAAATGTAGTGGCCGGCTTTGCAAAACTAGGGTGGATATAGTATTGTTTTACTCTACCTGCAGTAATAATGGCTGGAATTCATTTGGAAGAATTTTATGTTCGTTCATAAGAAGTTTGGAACTCAGAAATGCAGCCTGAAATTACTGCAACCAAAGGAACACTTCTATGAGAAATAATAGGCCTGCACATATGGTATAATTTTTCACAGGGTACATAATAGAGATAGCTTGTGTCCTGTTATGGGTGAAGAAACTGCTGCCTTTAAAACATAGACCAGAGTTAAAACATGAAGAAGTTAAGCAAGAATGCAGAATTGGAAGGACACCTGTTATAAAGCAAAACCGAAATCAAAAAAGGAACCCTGCCATCTAGTGGCCTAAATATTTATTTCAAAGGTCAGCCATACTGGTGTATTGTTTTTGCAAGTCTGTGGAACAGGATGTACACAAAAATTGCAATGTTTTTGCTTTGTGAAACTATGCAACAAAAAGTAGACAAATGTAAATAACAGAAATGAAAATAAAGAATTATGGTAAACACATATAAGAAAAGATGTGTTTTTTATTTTGCATCACAGAATAAAAATAATACTTTTAAAAAGTCCAACAAACGCAAATATATTGAAAAATGACATTCATTTAAAAAATACAAACATTTTAAACATTCATGTTCAATACAGCTGTATATAATGACATTTGTATTATCAAAACTAATCTATTAAGAAAATGTCAATGGAGATAATAAATGATAATCAAATTACTTGAATTTTTCCACTATAATTTTCCAAAATGATTCATTGCAATAATTTTTCAGCAAAACAATGTCCCATGGTTTTCAATATTATTGTTCCAATAAAAGATACCAGTATCTCTACATCCTACAATAAAAATCAAGCAGGTAATAAGAAATAATGAATTAATATCTTAGGTGGATTGATTTACATACAATATAAAATATAGATAGTAAACCAATCTCAGGATTTAGTATTGAAGATAATTGACTTATTTATTTCTTCCAAACTTTCAACCCAAAACATTGACTAACAGGATAATAATGCAATGTTAGCGAGGTATAATATCACCTACAGATTATTTTTATAGTAAAATAAACAACCTATGATCCCTTGATTTTCATTTCAGAGATATTTCTTATCAGATTTTTCAATGCCTTCAACATTGGCAGAGCTTCTAATGTACTGCCTTCATTGGAAAAATTCTTAAAAATTCAGAGAGATACTCAGAGATATATCTGTCTGTAAAATAGCCCATGTTGAACTCTTTAGCACAAATAAACATCAGCAATTAACCACAACAAATTCTGTATTGTCATACATTTTTTTATGATGTTTATGTCATAAAATGTTTTATAAAATTTACCAAATTTCAATTTCATGGGAGACATGGGTTCCAGATTTTGCATGCATTTGTAAGTTAGCCCATTTGAGGTACCTTCAAAAATTTTGGCCCTATGATACAACATTTCAGCCAGGTAAAGGTCACACACGAACAGTTTAAATAATATATAGATTCATATATTTCACTTGCTGAAATAATTTACTGTAAAAAGAATTTGCTTGCCACAAGAAAATCTGATGAGATTCATTAGGTTTAGTACCCAAATTATCCTGTATATTTTAGACCAGGGCTGTCAAACTCCCGGCCTCCGGGTCAGATATGTCACGTGCTAGCCACGCCCATGCCTGGTTTAGCAAAGAGAAAAAGAGTCCTGATATGTCACTTGTCACCGCCATGACGACGTGAGTTTGACACCCCTGCTTTAGATTCTCAAAAGCAGCCTAAAATTTGTATATTACATTTTTGACAGTTCTTTATTATTAAATCTATATATATAAAAGCGAAAATCAGTCACACTTTAATCACGAAATCTCCAGAACTGTAAAGCCTGCAAACTTTAAATTTGCCACATATGTTCCTCTTGGCTTCTAGGTGCTCACTAAGAAAGGATTTTTCAAAACGACCATCAGAGCATTAGTATTTCCTATATTATTATAACACGCTCTGATGCTAATTAGTTAGACGGTCTACTCCCCCTCCCAACTTGAAAATAACTCTGGAGAGAATGGGATAGCATAGGACAGGCTTCTGTGGGGCAATCCTCATGGAGAGAAGGGGCTAGAAAGCCTGAGGAAGAGAAGGGGATAGGATAGGAGACGTTTCTGTGGGGCATGGCTGAGGGAGAAGAGAGGAGAGGATCTATGGGGCCAGCCTGAGGGAGAGAAGGGGAGAGGAGAGGATCTATGGGGCCAGCCTGAGGGAGAGGAGAGAATCTATGGGGCCAGCCTGAGGGAGAGAAGGGGATAGAGAGGAGAGGCTTTTGTGGGGCAAACCTGAGGGAGAGAAGGGGAGAGGAGAGGCCGATCATAACTACTCATTAATTTTCAAACTCTTAAGTGTCGATTTATCAAGCCCGATCACATAGTTTCATAGCGGAACATGGGTATTCAGCTAGTATAGTTATATATATATTTAAAATATTACTAATAACCTTTACTGATACAATTTGTATCATATACTTTATTCAATTGAAACCAGGTTGGTGCTTCTTTGCAGCTCTTTTACAAAATATATTCGGGTTTACAATTCATACAATTCTATAAAATCTTCTGTCTTGCCATGCCTTGTATGCTTAACCTACAGTGATTAAAAATGAGAGAGGAAGTCAGGAGCCAAAAGTTTCTAGTTTCTTCAAACTTGAATATTGATTGGAAAAGAGTTGGATATATTAAAACTGGCAGAATTATTCACTGCCTGTTCTGTCCCAGTCTCACACACGCACACAAACAGATAGCCGGGGGTTAAATAAACTGGCAGACAACCAATTCTTTCGATAAGAGGATTGGCAGCAACCCAGTAGCTGCTTGCCAAGAACTTTACTCATAAACAAAATACACAGAGTTCAAGAATTGTCAAGTCCAGTCCGTAATTAAATCCAAGGCAGATAATGTTGTTTCCAAAGATGCAATGTGACTCGATAGTAGTTAGTTTTGTCCATCACAGAGTCTGAATGGCCACCTCACCCCCTTATATCCCCTGTGGGGTGTGGTCCAGTGACTCAGCTTAATCTCTGGCACACCTCCTTTTCTGTTGGTTGCGCTTGTCTCTGATGCTGGTGTGGATCCAGCCAAGACTTATCTCCTTCACTGTCCGACTGTGAGGAGATATCTGGCTTCTGGCCAATCTCTTCTCCTACGGGAGACACCTGAGGCATTGCCAGAGAGGAGGGTCCTGGAGAGGGAGGCCTGGCCAACTCCTCTCCTTCATGTTCGGAGCCTTCTCCCTCCGATAAGTTGGCCTCGGGGGTCGGAGCCACAACACTGCCTGAGGGAATACAAAACATGCATCAGTAAGAGACAAGGTCATGATAGTTTTTCTATAGCTTTTCTTTTTGAAGCATCAAGGCTGGATTGCTGGAAGAATTTTAGAAGTTTTTGAAACGGAGAACTTTCATTTGTTAGACTGAACAAATGTTGTGTTTTTATGTGTTTTTATACTCTTCAAATAAGCAATAAGCTCCTGAAATGCTGTAGGATGTCGTGTTCCAGAGCTGTTAAAAATTATAAAGCTAGTATCAGTAAAAGTAAGGAGCATCTTTTCATTTTTCAGTTAGTAACTCTAAAGATAAATTCATACTTGAATTTATCTTTAGAAACTGAAATTGCATTGAGATATTGAATGCTATTACAAGTACCTAGACATGGTAAAAAGTCAAGTGTTATATATTTGCCCACGTTCTTTCAAGCATTTTAAAGTCAAGGAATACTAAAACGTTTCCAGAGTTTTAAGTGGTAAGCATGTGCTGTCACACTCTTTCCCATATAGGACATGTATTTCATTCACATCAAGGAGTGTAGGGTTCTTAACCTGGGATAGATTTCAGGGGATCTATGAATTTAGATGGGAATACTGGCAAGAAATCAAGAAAATGATTGAAGAAATAACCAAACAGAAGGTTGAAATGAAACCGGAGTTTTTCTTATTTGGAATGACTACACCACAATATACCAAAGAGATAAAATATCTTACTATTCATATCTTAACAGTGGCATGCTTAGCGTACGCTCAAAACTGGAAATCCGAACTATTACCAACAGAAGAAAAAATAATTGCGAAAATAACAGAATGTGCAGAAATGGACAGATTTACAAAGGAATTACAAGAGAAAGACGATACTGATTACTATTTAGTCTGGCAGAGATGGTACTCCTGGTTAGAGGGAAAGATAGGACTAATAAAATAATACTTTTTGAGAATCTAACGAAGAAACACAGACAATTACGCATGAGGAAGGATAGATTGGTTGTATGGATAAATAGTTAGAATGATTTCTAGAAAGTCATATAAATGTAATTGATATTTTTACACAAAAGAAAGCCTAAAAATAGAGTATAAATCTAAGACTTGGATATGCATAAATGTGTAAATAAGTAAATATGTAAAATAGATATGTACAGAGAGAAATAGGTGAAACAGAAAACAACCACCGATGCAACAGCCTCTAGAAGTCAGTCAGTGGACTGAGTTAGTGTTGGTTTGGTTTTTTTTTTTTTTTTTTTTTGTAATGTCTTAATATATTTATATTTATATTTTATTGAATTTGTATACCGCCCTACTCCCGAAGGACTCAGGGCGGTGAACAGCCATAGAATAAAACATATAAATACAAAATTTAAAATAAAATAAAACGAATTAAATAATTTGGCTGAACAAATTTAAAACCCCAATAATTTAAAACCAAATTTAAAATTTCCATTTAAAAAGGGGAAAACTTTATTCATGTCTGTATGTATCTTTGTTTGGTGTTCTTGTTTAATTTATAAAACCTTAATAAAAAATTTTTTTAAAAAAAGAATTTAGATGGGAAAAATTATCACTTTATTTTCACCTGTATTACTATATTGAAGGGACATAATAATAATAATAATAATAATAATAATAATCATAATCA